TCTGAGGTCCGCGCGGATTGCTCGGATCGGCGCTGGGGCCCCCTGGCGGCGCCTCCGCGCGCCACGGGGCCCCAGATCGCCCCTGGCGCGCTCCGCGCGCCAGGGAAGGGGGGTCCAGCTCGGATCCAAGAAATCCGCGCGGACCTCTGAGTTTTTATGTGTATGCCATTTTTCGTTCCCTTAGAGACGAGGGTCCATGCAAGCGGGGGTCAGCCAGTGCGCGCCCGATCTTGCAAGATCCTGCAGGGCCAGGGTCGCACCGACCCAGGCTTGGGCGCGGGATGCTGCGGGATCTTGCAGGAGCCTTCGCGTTGGCCCGGGTTTGGATGCAGGATCTTGCAGGATTTTGCAAGGCCTGACTGGCCCGGATCTGGATTGACCCGGGTCAGAAGATGTCCGACCTGAGATTCTAGGCCTCCTAGATGGATGGGTCGGGCAGACGGGGTCGGGCAGACGGGGTCGGAGGATCGCGCCGCATCGCAGAAGCATTAAGACGATCCGGCTCCCTTTGTTCGAGCCGGGCGTTCTCGCCAGCCTTCGGGCCCCCACGACTCGCACGGCGCGGCGCGGCTGGGAAAAAAGCTTGCCCCTGGGAGAGGGGGCCCAGAGCTCCGGGGCGATGCTGCAGTGGCGTCGCGGCGTGGGATGTCAGGGGGAGCGCGGCCTGGGGCCGCGGGCGCCCCGGGGCCCAGGGGGGGAGTCCGCGGCCTCGTGGGCTCTGGGCCCCCTCCTCCTCCTCCCCCTCCTCCTCCTCGTCCTCCTCCTCCTGCTCATCATCATCATCTTCCTCGTCAGCATCCTCCTCTTCATCCTCCTCCTCTTCGGCCCCTGGGCCGCGAGCCCGCGGGCCCGGGGCGCCGATTCTCGCGGGTGCCCCGCGCGGAGAGGAGACCCGCGCGACCGCGTGCGCGCGGGGCCGCGCTGCAGACCGCCAGGGCGCGGATGTTTCTGCGAGCGTCCCGGGGGCCAGTGTCGCAGGCCTAGAGATTGACACCAACACCAATTTCGGCGGTGTGTCTCCACCGAGGGAAGACGATCCCGATCTCGGTGATGGTGGTAATATTCTGGCCTCCAAGGTGGCCGAAATATTGCCACCAACACCGAAATCGAGGATCATCTTCCCCCTGTGGAGGCAACCCCCTGTGTTAGTGTTGGTGCCAATTTCTAGGCCTCCCACAGTGGGGGAGGAGCTCGACGTCTGTTCCTGGGAGCCTTGGGCGGCGACATTGGCACCAGCGCCTCCTGCACTCGGACCGCAGTCTGGTCCCTGCCCCTGCTCCTCCTCTTTGCCCCCCTGCTCCTCCTCCCCGCGCTCTTCGCGACTCCTCCTGTGGAGGGGGGCGAAGCCCGTCCAAATCTGGCCCACATCCGGTCCCACGTGTGTTCCAGATCCGGTCCTCGTCAGGCCCGCATTGGACGGCAGCTCCCGCCCCCAGGCTGTCCCAGCTGGCCTTCAGTCGGGCGTGTCCCCCTACAGGGGGATTTTCGACGAAAAATAAAAAACACCCAACAAATTCCCCCAAAAGATTAAAGATACTCCAACAATAGTCCCCGGATTATTGTTGGACTATCTTTTGATGATTTTTGGGGTATTCTTTTATTTTTCGTCGAGCATCCCCCCTGTAGGGGGACACGCCCGACATAAAAAGCTGGCCTCCGCGGGCCCGCCGAGCAGCCCCGGCTGGCCTCCGCGGGCCCCCTCGGGCAGCCCATATGGGGGCGGTCGCTCGGCAGCCTCGCGCGCCGCCTCTGAAAGGCGCCCCCGGGGAGGCCCCGCGCCCGGGGCACTGCGCGGCACTGCCCGCGCCCGACGAGGTCAGCTGGCGGCGCCGGCGGGCCTCGACGGGCCCGAGGCCGCCCCGCAGGCTGTAAAGTCGCGCCGGTCCCCCCCTCTCTCTGCACGAGGAGTGCTCCAAAGATGGGGGAAGACAGCCCGGGGACGGTTTGTTTCGCAGTTTGTTTTTGATTCTTTAGGCTTACGCCACACCGCCGACCCCTTGTTTTTTTTTTGGGGAGGCAATCTTGGACGTCTTGGGGGCGTCATGGCCCGACTTTATCCCCCGCATTCCTATCGTCGTCGTCTTTGCTCCTCCTCCCAGTAGTCGGCCCATCCCGCCACCGTGCCTGAGTTGTGGTTCAGAGGCCTCTCAGATATTCGCTGGGATCTCGTGAGAAGCCTCTCGGGGGCCTGCTGGAGGCAGTTTGGAGGCACCTGGGGAGCTGTTTTGGAGCTTCTTGTAGCCTTTTTTGGGCCTCTTGGGGGCCTCCTGGGGCCTCTTGGGGGTCTCTTGGGGCCTCCTGGGGGCCTTTTGGGGCGGAAAGCTGTTTTTTTTCGCTTCGTGGTCTCCCTCTTGGGCCCCTCGGCCTTGGGGCTCTCTTGGGGCCTTCTTGGGCTGTCTTGAGGCTCGCGAAGCCGCTGACGTGCGCGGCGTGCAAAGGCGCGTTCTCGGACACGAAACATTTGAAGCAGAAGCAAGTGGAGCATCATCGAGCGGCGAAAGGAGCTAAAATGGTGTGCAGAAGCTGCGAGGAACTCGGGTTCACAGCGCGCAGTTGCCAGGCTTATCAGTGCAGCGGCGCGTGCAAGAGAGGACTACCAAAGTCGGCGTTCCCCGACCCGCACAATGTCCCGCGCGACGCAAAGAAGGGCACCCTAAAGTGCAAGACGTGCAAATGATGCCCAATCGGTTGCGCGTACTAGGCAGACAAGGGAGGGCGGGAAGAGGAGGATGGGGGGTGAGGCGGAAAATGGGGGGGAGAAGCATCGGTGAGGATGAGCTGAAGCGGGGCAGGAAGAGGAGGAGGGGAACGAGGAGGAAGTGTAGGAGGAGGAGGAGGAAGAGGAGGAGGAGGGGGACACTGAGATGAGGCTCCGGGTTATGGGGTTGGGCGCGACTCGAAAGACCGTGTTCGGAAATGTCCGTTGGGATCTTGCGGGGGGGTTTCTTGCGGGACTCTTGGAGCAGTTTCGAAGGCTCTTGGGGGGCCGTTTTGGGGCCTCTTTGTGGCTTCTTGGGCGCCTCTTGGAACGTCTTGGGGGCCTCTTGGGGGGTTATTTGGGCCTCTTGGGGCCTCCTGAGGGCCTCTTAGGGCGTAAGGCTGGGTTTTCTGGTGCGTGGTCTCTCTCTGGAACCCCTCTTGGGCCCGTCTCCGGGAGGTTCTTGGGCCGTTTTGGGCGGCTCTTGGGCCGTCTGGGGGCTCTCTTGGGCCGCCTTGGGCGGCTCTTGGACCGTCTGGGGGCTCTCTTGGGCCGTCTTGGGGGCGTCGTGGAGGCCTCTTGTGCCGTCTTGGAGCAGTCTTGGGAGCTTCTTGGGCTGTCTTGGAGCGTCGGAAGGCCGAAAAGGCGAAAATTACGAAACATCGAAAAACAAACAATGAAAATCAACGATTTTGGCCTCTTGGGGCGCTCCTCGGGGGCCTCTTGGAGGTCTGTTGGGGCGTCTTGGAGGTCTCTTCGGGCGTCTTGGAGCCCTCGTGGGGCGTCTTGGAAGCCTCTTGGGGCCTCTTGGGCGCTTCTTAGGGCGTCTGGGCGGTTTCTTGGGGCGTCTGGGGGCCTCTTGGAACGTCTGGGAGGCCTCTTGGGGCCTTCTTGGCCCGTATTTGGGCCCTTGTGGGCCCGGAAGAGCGTCGTGAGTCGCTCGTGGTGGGCACCCCCCCCCTCCAAATCGACCGGACCGGGTTCCCGGGGGAGGGGTTTGGGGAGGGGGAAGTATCTCGCACGCCGATGATCCCCAAGGGGTCGGCGGATTCTGTTCGAAAGCTGTTGGAAAACCATTGTTTTTTTCTCCACTAGGGGGCCACATGTGAACCATACCCCTACCCACCACGATTTTTGAGGGGAGGGTGGGGTTCACTTCGCTCGGGTGCTCCCGAACGAAGTGAACCCCACCCTCCCCTCGGAAATCGTGGGGGATAGGGGTAGGGTTCACGTGTGGCCCCATATCCACAATCCGCCTGTAGGGGGACGTGCCCGACCGGACTGTAGAGACCAGCTCCTCTTGCTCGGGCCTGCCGAGGCCGGCGGGGACCTCAATTGGAGGGAGGGCCGTCCGTGCGAAGCCCGAGGCCTGGCCCGATGGCGTTTGCCCGCAGCTTGTCGCCGAAGGGCCGGGGTCGCCTCGAAGTCTTGGCCCCCAGAGATCCAACGCAGAGAAACAATCAAGACAGAGGTTTTTCCAAATTCCAGTTTGTTTTTTTTTGGATTCAGGCAAGTTTACTTGCATGGCGTTCACCCCCCCCCTCGCCCCTCTTCAAGCGAACGCTAGCGTGCAAGTGCCTTTCGACTTGCGTGATTTCCGCGCCCCCCCGAACGTGCAAGTCGTTTCCGGCTTGCTTCAGGCTCAGCCCCCCCCCCGTCCATGCAAGTAAACTTGCCAGAGTCTAAAAAAAAACTCTTTTCGGCCTCTCGGGGCCCTCGCCGGGCCCCGGGACCGTCAACCAACGATTCAGGGTGAAAATGCCCGGTCCTGGGGAATGGGTCGAGACTTCGGGGGACCGCGTGTTGTCTTGTGATGTTCCAACCTGCTTTGGCGTTGAGCACCAGAAAGAATTCGGGCACCAGGAAAGTATCGAACTTGGAGAGTTTTCACGTGTTGGGCCATGGGAGGCGATGCTCGTTCGACATTGTTTCGACATCGCTTCGATACTTGTCTGGGTGCTCGAAATTATTTCTGGGATGTGGTCCTTAAGTGCGATGGGAACAACATAAATCTTGTCGCCGACAGGCCCGAGTCGGCTCGAAGTCTTGGTCAGAGCGCACCCCGGAGATGTCTGGGGATTACCTCGGTGCCGGGGCGGTCGGCCCCCATACGGGGTGGTGACAACACCGTGTGGTGAGTCGGTGGGGATTCGGGGTCCTCGCACGTTCTCCGAGGATGTCTCCGGCGTCTGGGGCCTCCAGGGTCCCAATTTCGCATGGTGACTGACCTGCGGTGAGGTCTCCGGGGCTTTCGAGGTCGCCGCCGGGTCTGTCACCACGCGGTCTTGGGACCCCCATGCAGAGGACGGCGGCCCCCGCGGCCGTTGCGCCGGCGGGCTGTGCGAGTGCTTCCCGCCGTACCGCGGGCCCCTCTGCGAGCACACGGAGGACGCGCGCGTGCCGCAGACGCTCCGGGCGGCCGTGCACTACATCACCGCGGAGACCGAAGGTCAAGATGCAACCCCTGGGACATTACATTCAGCATCGGCGATGGCATGTTCGTGGTCGAAAACTGGCCGAATACCGCATACTCCCTCTCGTTCCGGCTTCATCCCGACGATTCCAGCTGACTCCCGCAGCTCATCTGGGCTCCTCGGGCCTAATGAGTGGTTCCTCATACAGCCGTTCTCAATAGCGGTTCATCCTTCTTCCGAAGGCCTCCCAGAAGCTGCCTCCTAACGAAGGCGACCTGTCCGACCTCACGCGCTCGCTGGTAAGCCTCTGGGAGCGGCTCAACTGGCGCCGCGACTACCCGGTCTTGGTCTTCCACGAGGGCCTGTCGCCAGCCGCCCGCGAGCGCATCGTCGGGGCTTCCGAGAACCGCGTGTGGCTGGTGATGCTCCCGAAGTTCAAGGAGGTCCCCGAGGAGTTCAGGGGCAACGTTGGGGGGGGGATCTTGAAGAAGAAAAATCGCATTGGCGCTCCGCGCGGATTCCTGGATCCGCGCTGGGGCCCCCCCGGCGGCACCCTTGGCGCCGCCCCTGTCGCGCTATGCCATTTTTCGTCTCCCTGGCTAGGGAGGGGGATCGGCGTCTCGAAGTTCGACGTTTTCGTCGCCTTCGTCGGTTCTCGGAGGTCCGAGGTTCTCGTCGTCTTCTTCGGTTCTCGGAGGTTTTCCCAGCCTCGCGGCACAATGTTCTAAGCACCTTCTGTGGTTTCCACGAAATGTTCTTAGAACATTTCTGTTTTAGATTGTTTTGTTTAACACACCGGGCTTATGCTCTAAGAAAATTGGTTTTTGTTATTAGAACATCTTTGGGTTCTAAGAGCATTTCGTGGTAGGACTAGGAATGCCAGGCCGGTCGGTCCCTGCTCAAATATAGGAGGAATCTTCAAACATAGTCAAAACATGGCATGGGGACCATTTTTTACCGTGCTCCACAATGTCTGAATCTCTTTGGACAAACTTTTCGCGGTCTCTTCCAACGTCCGCCGGTAGGAAGACATGCCCGAACCAACGATCGGGGAGGATGGGCTTGGGCGGGTGGGCATCGACCCCCCGTCGCCCACTGGTCGCCAGTGGCGGCCCGCTGGCCGCGGGTCCACCCCGCGCAGGACAGCGATCTCGCGCCTCGGGGGCCCCGCCGCCGCTCTGTCGGCACTGTAGCGCCGGCTTCCAGCAGGGCTGGACCTTAGGCGCTCTGGTCTGCCGGGCTTCGGCTGCGTCTCGCTTGACGCTCTGGCAGGGCGGTGCAGGAGAGCAGCGGGCAGAGCAGAACGAGCGGCAACACGAAGACAGCACGAACAACACGACGTTGAGGTTCAGCCCTGGCTTCCCGGTCGGTTCCCAACCAACCAGGTTGCACAGCTCCTCGGCTCCCAAGCAAGAAATACTGCAGAAGTTCGGGGAACCGACCCCGACCCGAGAAAACGGCAAAGGTTGCACAACCCATCGGTTCCCAATCAAAACGGTTGCACAAGTAGAAATGCCCAGTCGTACGCCTCGGCGAAGTTACGTAATTTACGGGCTGGGCGTTGATTTACGGTATTTTTTCATTTGCAAATGTAAATTTGATTCGTCTGGCCTTGACATCCCAGCTGAGACACGGCCATTCCTGCCGTTGCCCCTTCAGGAGTGGGCCGCGCAGGCCAGCAGGATGGCGCAGGACTTCTCGGTGGGCTACCGCGCCATGATACGCTGGAGGTCGGGGCCCGTCTTCCTGGAGCCGGCGCTGGCGAGCTTCGAGTACGCCATGACGCTGGACACCGACTCGTACTTTCCGGCCGACCTGGCGGAGGAAGGGAGCAGGAAGAGGCACAGATATCTCGTTGCCCTGGCCCTGTGTTCCCTGTTTTGGGCCTCGGCGCCACGGCTGGAGTCGCCTCAAAGTTCCAGGCAGAGCGCACTCCGGGAGAGGTCCGCGGAGTGGCGGTATGGGCATCTTCTTGGTACCCCAGAGGATCCGTTTGAGATGCTGAAACGGGAAGGTATCACCGCCGCTTTCCCGCACCTGGGCCGCGAGTCTGCGAGCGTGGTGGTCAACTTCATGAACTATCAAGTTGCGCTGCCGCGCAGATCCACCGGCGCGCTTGTTTCGCTGGTTGGTGCGAGGGGGGGGGGGAGGGGCGAACAGGGGGGGGGGCACGCCCCCCCGTCACCGCGCCTGGGCTCTCTGGCTTCGTCTTCGTTTCGGGAAACCCAGCTAGCTAAGGAAACCGCTCGACATTTCGGCGCATGTTGGGCTCGGTGCGGGCTCGTGGGCTTGCCAGGGGAACACTGAGGAACAGGAAAAAGGGGCTCGACACGCACCAGCCGCAAATCATCGCGGTGCCAGACTTCCTGCTCTACTGCAAGATGCACGGCCTCCACCCTCGGCGGACACGCATGCTGGAGAGCTTGATCGAGAAAAACTTCAAGTGGTACCAGCAGTGCATGATGCTGGACATCGAGGTTCTGCGCCTGGACTGGTTCAGGAGCGAGACGTATCAGGACCTCTTCCGGTACATGGACTCGACCGGTGGTTTCTGGCTCCACCGATGGGGCAACAACCCCTTTCGGACGTTCGCGGTGGCCGTGCTGCTGAACGACACGGACGTCCGCTCCATGACACTGCCTTACGCGCACCAGGACAGTTGCTCGTGCGGCGCTGGGGCGCCTCCCTGCCGGCTGCGGGAGGGGGCTCGCTTCGCGGACAGCTGCGCAGAAGGTCGGACTTGGTCCGTTGTGTCAGATGCCCCTGCTCGGTGGCCACATGCGAATTCTACCCTCTGCCCCGCCACCCCACGACTTCTAAGGGGGGGAGGTGGGGGGGTAGGGTTACCATGTGGCCTCCTACCTGTCAGGCCAGCCCGAGCCTCCCCAGGCTTTGGGTCTCGCGCCCCCCCCCTCGGGGAAAGGTGGAGGCGTCCGGTTCGAGGATCTCGCCGAGGGCCTGCTGGACCTGCAGCCGTGGCGAGGCACAGACCGCCAGAGGCCATGACGAAAAAACCTGCACACACGTATGGTGCGCTTGTTTTCCACAACCACCACTATAAGTAGGCGGGGGAGGGTGTCCTCCTGCTCGTCCTCCTCCTCCTCCTCCTCCTCCCCCTCCTCCTCCTCCTTCCCCCTATCCAACTTGTGGTGGCTGTGGAAAACAGGCCCATCCGCGTAAGCTTAAATCGTGCATGTCCTGCTACAGGAGGAAAAATCAAAATGGTCCAACAGTAGTTTTTACACGATTTCCTCTTATTTGAGTTACTCTGTTTGAGCATTTCTTGTGCACAGAACGCTTCCCAACTCCGCCTGTAGGAGGACATGCCCGACCTGAACGTGAGCTTGCGAAGGCCCCCGCGGATCTCGGGGATCTGCGCTGGCCCCCCTAGGCGGCACCTCTGGTCCCCCCCCCCCTGTGGGGCGCTCCGCGCGCCAAGGAGGGCCGGGCGGGGCCAGGAGCGCGAGAAGTCGCCCCGGAGCGCTCTGGGAACGCTTTCCGCCTGGAGCGCTCTGAAGCGGCTGCGGCGCTCGATCGATCTCTCGGACCTCCGAGATCCCCGAGCAGTGCCAGTCCGAGTCTGGCTGGTGCGTCCTGCGCTTCCCCCGCGAGGAAGAAGTTCGCGCACGCCGACATCGTGCAGTTCGTGGAGGAGCAGCTGCCGGGCGAGATGCTGCTGTGAGCGGTGGGTGCGTGCGCGGGGGCTCGGCCTTCGGCCTTGGCGCGGCTCACGGCTCGGCCTTCCGGCCTTGGCGCTGCACGCTGCCATTGGCCGAACGCCCTTTGGCACGATCGAAATGGGTGCGGAAGGGATCCGGAATGGGGACGAGGATGTTGACGGTCTGATTTTGTCAAGCGTTTTTGTGTTGGGATTCCGTTTTGGACAACGCTTTTGTTTGTATTTTTATTATGCCTCTCCTTCATCCCCTTCCTGCCTCCTGTCTCCTCCTCCCTTCTTTCCGCTCGAACTGTCGCTTACCTGACCCGTTTCACTTACCTGTTGTAATGGTCTCCCCTTGCCGCTGCCATTTGTGCTTTGGGGCCGGGAGGCTATCCCCGGTGCGCCCTGTACTCGCGCCTTATAGGCTGGTGTTTCCTGCCGCTCGCTCTTAGCTCTCGCTCCCTGCTCGTAACCATGGCCCCCGAGATCAATGCACGCCTTCATGGCGAGTTGCTTCGCGACATCTCCGGCTTCTCGCCCACTCAATACAGCGGTCTGCGCTCCGGTGGCGCGGACCTTCGGATGTGGACGATCATCCCGATCCAGCTGGCGAGACGTTTGGCCCGTTTGGGCGATACCTTCGCGATTACCCGCCACATCACGGACGTCTCGGCCAGCGAGCTGCGGGCGGAACTCTCTGCGGCCACTGCTGCAGTGTCCTCGTCGTCCGACCCCTCGACGGCCACAGCATCAACGGTTGCTTCAGCACCTACGGCCACGGCGCCTTCGGGAAGTGCGGCGGCAACAACACCTACGGCAGCCACGGCTCCCAGTCTTACGGCGTTCACGGCATCTCCGAGTACGTTGAGTGTGGCAACCGTGGATCTCTCGGATCTCTTCGAGGAGATGGCAGCCCTCAGGCTCAACACCGTTCATACTACCGAGCACCTTTTTCCGAAATCATCAGCAATGTCGCTTCCCAGGTCGCCGACGGCTTTAGCACGAAGCGCGCTGCCGAAATTACGAAGTTGCAGGCCTCCCACAAACGCCACCTCACCTTTCTCGTCAACCGCCTCCCCCCTCGCGAGTCTGAGGCTGAGGTCATCAGCCCGTTGCGTTCGCTTCTCGGGGACTCCCGTGCCGCGCGCCCGAACGAGGGCTCCGAGATGAAGGTGTAGGACCGCGCCCCATGAACCGTGTGGCAGGCCACTGGAGTACGCTTGCCTCGGCACGGCCTCCCCCGTTTGCCTAATTTGCCCGAAGCTCCAAACGTTGATTTGGTTTGAAATGTCCCGGGGACACGACGAGCACGAAACGGATTACAGTTGGATGAGGGGAAAAGAGGCACCTTCTTCAAACGCCGCTACAGAAAGCCTTCGCCTTATTCATCACTCACCTGGACATCTTCATTTCCAGTTAAGAGCGGAGCAGTTTCGCCCCTGCTCTCACCGCGGCCGCCATGTCTCGCTTCGCGTCGACCCCGATGGCTTCCACCCCCCGCCGCCATCGACGTGGGTCAATCGCCTCCAACACCTACGTCGTTTTATACACTTCCGCCCCTTCGCTACGGCAGGGGGCGTTACTTTGGGGCCCATCGGGTCTATACAAAACCATCCGCCACGACCTGTGACCGGGAGCGTGCGCGCCGATCAGAACGATGCACATCTGCGGTGTCAGAACGATGCCCTCAGGTTTTCGGGATGTGCATCGTGGGCCCTGGAGCAAGCGCTGGCAAGGCATCAGGCGACTGCGTCGCCAGTCCCGTGCGCGAGTGCATTGGTGATGGTGGACATTGTGTTTTCCAACTTCCGAGGTTATGCAGTGGGGGGCGTGACGACTGGGGCGCCACCGCTCCGAGGTCGCTTCGGGGCCCGATCCTGCGCTTCAGCGATTCAAACCCGCAAGCCGAGAAGGACGGGATCTCGATGCGCATTCTTGTAGACGGTCGCACAATCGGTGGCGCCCAGCGCAGTGACCACGCCGTGACGGCGTCGCGCGATGATCCGAGCGCCGCGAGCACCAGTGTGGCACGACAGAAGCAGACGCCCAAATCCGGCGACGAGGAGGAACGCTGCGATGCCGTTTGAGGACCCCCGGCTGCCAGCAAGTCTACGACATGTGGAGGGGATGGGAGGCCATCGGAGTAGACACGCTAGCCGCTAGCCATCGCATGCTGCATTGTCTGCGCGCGCACGCGGTGGCTGCGGCAACGCCGAACACCGTTTGCGCGCCCAGAAATGGGCGCCCAAGGTGATGATCTGGTCAGTGGCGAACTCCGACCTTAACGCGTTTTGCCAGGCGGCTTATGTTTCGTCCTCCCTTACTGGCAAGGTGCGCGGGCGCGTGGACGAATGGCCGCTAGTTGCTGTGATCCGTGGAGTTACCTTCCTAATGCACAGCTTGGCCGAAGTATGGGGCCAGCTGGGCGAGGAGGAGCGCACCTGGGCGGTGCCGCTTCTGATGCATCCCGACCGACGTGTCGCAGGAGCGCATCGACAATGCCCTAACGAGGTTCGGCATCCTTCGCAAATGGGCGCGAACAGCTGGTCGAATTATGCTCGGCTAAGACAGGCCCAACTTCCTCCTGCTGCGCACCGATGGCGTGCCAAACGCGCACGTCACCATGCGCCTACAGCATCACAACATGGGGTACCCCACTAATGGTCAGCAGCTTCCCCATATGACGGACCAGCTGAGAAGCTTTGGGCACGTGATTCCCGGATCGTGCCCTGGAGAGTTAGGATGGTTGGTAGAGAAGAAGCCGGTGGCCAGGGCTACGCCAGCTTCTGTCCAAGGCTCCCGGGCAGGCATCTCCGCAACGAGTTGCTTGAGTTCCCGTTGGGTCCCGAGAGCTCTTGCTCGTTCCCAGTACGCGTGCCCGATGACTTGTCCGCAGCTCGTTCGGAGCTACTGCGCAGCTCCACTCTCCAACCTCAAGCTTACAAATTTCCCGCGCACGTTTTCGAGCGTCTTTGCATGCGCCTCCCTCAGGCGTTTCACGCGCTCTGGGCTGCGCTGGTCTCCGGGTCTGGGGCGCTACAAGTATAGGGATTGCCAAATGCCAATTCGCCTCGGCGGTCCACTCTGCCCAACAGCAATATCCCAAAAGGGGGGAGGGTTTGAAATCTGCTGCATGCATTTTGTTCCGGTCCCGCCGCGGGGCACATGCCTCGATGCATGCGCGCCGCCCTGAGCCAAGAGGCGCAGGAAAGCCAACTGCGTGAGCTGATGTAGACTCTCCGGGCGAGGGAGGGCGGAGGGGGGTGTGGACGAGGGACGGGAGGAAAAAGGGTGGGGAGGAGGAAGGGACAAGGGGAGAGGTGATGACTCACAGGCCTCTTTTTCCCCCCAGCCCAAGATTTTTTGACGAAAAGTGAAGCAACCCAAACAATGAGGGAAACCCTGGGATACACCCAACGGGGGCGACTCGCGCGCACCCGTATCGAGGATGGGCGCCCCCCATAGTATATCCTATGGTTAGGCCCCGGAATTTCAGTCCAGTCGAACAGCCAACGAAAAACCCACTACGGAGGAAGGAGGACGGATCACACAATCACACGACACTTTCGACGGTCCGCGTTGATTTCTCTCGTCGGCCCTGGGGTTCCCCTGGCGGCGCCCCCGGCCCCACCCCTGCCGCGCTCCGCGCGCCAGGGAAGGGGCCAGCGCCGATCCCAAGAAGTCTGCGCGGCCGTCCGAAAGGTTCTGTTCATGCTTGTTTGTGGTTCGTCGAGGGGCGGTGGACGGCGAGGACGAGGCGGCTGAGGGGATGCCATGGAGAGAAGGTGCGGGCAAGACTTGTGTCTGTATCCGCTGCAGCTTGAAGCTTCGGGCTTCCTTCCCCACACATCCGAGGCGCACTGGACATGGATAGCATTCTGGCCCCCAGAGGCTAGATGTTTTTCCATGCCCAGTGCGCCTCGGCCCTGTGGCGACCCTGAATACTCTGAGCTTGTTAATCAGCGTGGGGGGGGGGCGCCGCCCCCACCGACAGGCCCACATCGACCCCCGTCGCGGACAACCGCCGCGCGCCGAAAGCGCTCCAACCCCTGTCGCGGCGCGCCGACGAGGCGAGGTCGACCCCCGTCGGGGGAGGGGGGACCCCATGCTTCTTAACGAACTCGGAGTATGGATCAGGCGATGGCAAACATGGGTCAAGGGGGCGTGGATTAGCGACGGGCCCCGCTCCCATGGGCAATCGGTGGTCTCCGCCGCCGAACACGGCTGCACCAGCCGCAGTTTATGGATTTGGCGACCGCGCGGCAAATCCATGGACCGCTAATCTTACGTCGGGCGTGTCCCTTTACAGGAGGAATATGCAAAACCAGTCAAAACAATAGTCGGGGGACGAGTTTTTGACTGTGTGACTATTTGTTCGATTGTTTTTTAGTTTTCATTGTTTCGTCCAAAATCGGCCTGTAGGGGGAATGGCCGACCTAACGCTGCTCCATGCATGCGCGCCCCCGAAGGGACGTGGCCCCCTTTGCCTGCACTCCTCCTCCTCCTCCTCCTCCTCTTCCTCCTCCTCCTCCTCCTCCTCCTCCTCCTCCTCCTCCTCCTCCTCATCATCATCATCATCATCATCATCCGCCTCCTCCTCTTCCTCCCCCGACCTCCTGCCCCTCCTCCTCCTCCTCCTCCTCCCCCGTCCTCCTGCCCCTCCTCCTCCTCCTCCTCCTCCTCCTCCTCCTCCTCCTCCTCCTCGTCTCCCAGGGGTGGGAGCTCCCGTGACGGGTCGCCGGCCCGGCAGGTCGCCCCCGGGGACATCGACGAGGCCCCGGCGGGGGCGCGCTGCTCTCGGTGCGCCTGGGGCCACCCACCAAACCACCCCAGCCCAACCCGAAGGTCTCTCTAGGCCTCCCAGATGGGGTCGGAGTAGATGGGGTCGGAGGGTCGCGCCGCATCGGCGATACATCGCCGATGCGGCTCGATGCGGAGCCCGATTTTCTCCACGCCGACGTCGCCGATGCGTCGCCGACGTCCGCGATGCATCGTCGGTGCATCGCCGATGCATCGCCGATGCATCGCTGATGCATCGCCGATGCATCGGCGATGCGGCGCGGTCCTCCGACCCCATCTGTTCCGACCCCGTCTAGGAGCCCTCTAGTCTCGATTTGCCCTCCATTTGCAGTACGGTAGGTTCGTGTCGTGTCGGCCAGCGGCGACCCCGCCAGCGGCGTTCAACTTTGAACGCCGCGGGCGACACAGAATCGTTCGAACTGGAACGATTTGGGCGTTTCGGAAACGGCCGATCGTTCAAGGTTGAACGATCCCCGCGGTGTCAGAAACCAACGCCGAAGTCGGCACGACACGGACCTGCCGTAGGGGGGGGTCGGGAAACATTGAGAAAACACACATGGAACCCGTACCCCCCCCCCTAACCCGAAATTCGGGCCTTCGGGTTGGGTTGGGGTGGTCTGGCAGGTGGTCGGTCTGGGGCCTCCCGTCGCGGCAGGCTCGTGCAGCGACAGCCCGCCGGCGACGGCGGCGACGGCGTTCAAGGTCGTTGGATGCGGGGTTGGACAGACCTCCCACCCTGACACGTGGATTGAGGAGTTCCGAGAAATCCGCGCGGACCTCCGAGTTTTTATGTTCATGTCGCTTTTCGTTCCCCTATTCTCGACGACCTGGCTCGGGGAGGCCTTCGCTGCTGCAGCCGCGGCCGGCTCGACGACCGGAGCCGCGGTCAGCAGACCGCGGGGCGGGTCGGCTCGGTGGGGCCGTTTTCGTTTGCGAGAGGGCGTCGCGGCCGTCATTTTTGCGGGTCCAGGTCCGTCGGTTTCGGTCCCCAGGCCGTTTTCACTGAGGGGAGGTTTACTGAAGGGAGGTTTGTCCACCGCCGATAGATGCTCGTTTTGGGGACCCTCCTGGGGCCCACCCAACGGATACGTTCGACTCTAGTTCGACTCAAGCTGGACTCGGGTTCGACTCAGGTTCGAGGCAGGGTGGACTACCATCGACAGCTGTTCGACGCAGCTTCGACGCGCGAGCGGATCGAGCGTCTCCAGAAAGGTCCCCAGAATGAGCACCCAAAGGTTGAATTCTGCGAAAGCACCGAGGGACACGGTGACGCCATTTGACCCGACGGAATTCAACCTTAAACGATCGGGACCGCGATCGATTCAAGGTGGTACGATCGACGCAGGCCTCCCGTTAAGTCGGGCATGTCACTCTACAAGCGAAAAAGAAGAGGCAACATAAACATCAGTGTTTGGCGCTCCGCGCGGATTTCTCGGATCCGCGCCTGGGCTCCCAGGCGGCGCCTCCAGCGCCGATCCTCCGCGCGCCAGGGAGGGGGGCCCAGCGCGAATCCAACACATCCGCGCGGAGCGCCAACTGTTTATGCTTATCTGGGTTTTCTTCTTCGATGTAGGAGGCAAGTCCACAAATAGTCAAACAATAGTATACGGACGATGTTCTGCTAGTTTTTTGATGATTTGTTGATCACGCTTTTTTTGTTTTGTTTTCCGTCCGACGTCCGCCTGTGGGGACACATGCCCGACCTAAACCTTCCGCCCATCCCCCTCCTCGCGCTCCTTGCGGGCAATACTAGTGTCCATATCCACTGCAGGTTGGAGTATCGGGCTCGCTTTTCCAGGAAAGCCGAGGCATGCTTGATATATGATCCAGGGTCGAGGGTTCACGGGCCCCCCCCCCAAGATTGGTATGGTCCCAGGATTCCTCGGGCCCCCCCCCCAGATGGTATGGTCCCAGAGACGACGACGACGACGACGACGCCGACGGCGACGGCGACGGCGATGGCGACGGCGACGGCGACGACTACGACGACGGCGACGACGACGACGACCACGACGACGACGACGACGGCTGCGGCGGCGACGACGCCGGCGGCGGCGGCGGGGACGACGACGATGACGACGATGACGACGGCGACGACGACGATGACGACGACGACGACGATGACGACGACGACGACGACGACGACGACGACGAGGACGACGAGGACGACGAGGACGACGACGACGACGACGACGACCTCTGAACCACCACAGCACCACAGCACATCCATAGGGGGGGGAGGGGGGCACTGCAGCGCAGCACCACGCCACGCCCACTTCTGAACCACCACAGCACCACACCACATCCACAGGGGGGGGGGGACACCGCAGCGCAGCACCACGCCACGCCCACAGGGGCGGGCGGGGGGGACCATGGCGCGGGGGGGGGGCCCAATGGCATCAGCATTAGGGGGGGGGGCCACAGCCCTGGACCATATATAGATCAAGATCTTGCCCCTGGAGGCTGGATTTGCATCCGTATCTAGGGTGCCTCGGCCTTGCGGCGCCCCTCCAAGAAAGTCCCAGACGCACTGCATGTGGGTATACATTTTGCCAGCGCTCCTCCTGGTTTTCCCGTCCTCGTCCTCCCAGTGTGCCTCCTCGGCCACATATCCTGCAGCACTGGCCAAGCACAGCATTGCTCGAGGAACAAAACAAAAATGGCACACGCGCAAACTTCTGACGGTCCGCGCGGACTTCTTGGATCCGCTCTGGGCCCCTTCCTGGGGGCGCCTCCAGCGCCGCCCCTTGGCGCGCGCACTCCTCGGGCAATATTGATTGTCCATACCCGCTGCAGCTGGGAGTGTCGGGGTCCCTGCCCCAGAAAAGCCAAAGCGGGCTGGATCAATATATATATATACACACACGAAGATAATTTATATATATATATACATATATATATATGTATATACGTACACCTATATATATATATATATATTAGCTATGCATGTAACTGTATACATATATACATATATATGTATATGTATAAATAAAGATCTGGCCCCTGGAGGCTCGATTCGCATCCACATCCAGTCCGCCTCGGCCTTGCGGCGCCCCTTCCAAGAGAGTCCAAGACACTTTGGATGTGGATATGAGTGTTGTCCGCACTCCTTAGTTTATCCGTCCTCGTCCTCCTCGTGTGCCTCCGCGGCCTCCTGTCCTACAGCACTGGTCGAGCATAGGCTGACTCGAGGAACAAACAACAAATGGCACGAGCAGAAACTTTGACGGTCCGCGCGGATTTCTTGGAGCCGCGGTGGGATCCCCTGGGGGCGCCTACGGCGCCGCCCCAGGCGCGTTCCGCCCCCCAGGGAGGAGGTTCCAGCGCAGATCCAAGAAAATCCGCACAGACCGTCGACGGTGTATGGTTATGTAGTCTTATCTTTCTATCTTCGGATTCCTAACCTTCCTGAGATCGTTACGCAAACTTCGACGGGCATCGTGTTCGGTGTTTGTAAGGTCGGGGTTGCCCCAATGTGAGCACGAAGCAGTTGGCCTAGACGCAGGTGTGTCCGAAATCCAGCAGACCCTGCCAATCTATCGTGCGCGACGGTTCTCAAGGATGTGTCAGTTTATCTTTGACGAGGCTTGTAGGGTCATCGCTGGACTTCTTCCTATTGCGAAGGCCTTGCGGCCGGTGCCGCCGACCCTGCATGGCGGCGACAACCACGACCACAACGACGAAGCTCTCGGGGGCCACCTGGGGGTAGTTTTGGGGCCTCTTGGGAAGCTCTTGGGGGCCGCTTGGGAGCCTCGTGGGGGCCCCTCGGGGCTTCCTGGGGGCTTCCTGGGGGCCTCTTGGGGGCCTCTTGGGGGCCTGTTGGGGCCTCTTGAGGGGCTTCTTAGGGGCCTCTGGGGGTCTCCTGAGAGCTTCTCAAGCCAAGGGCTCGAAATGTGCATTTGGGCCCCCCGTCTGGGCTCGCTCTTACAACCGTCTTGGGAGCCTCTTCGATTGTCTTGGAAGTTCTTGGACGGTCTTGGGGCCCTCTTGGGTCGTTTTTGGGCAGGGAACATGTTGACGCATTAACGTAAGTTTTCGGTAAGGGACGCATGGGCCTCCGCATTTGATGTGGCTGTAGCCTTGTTCGGGACTCCCGCTGTGTTCGGGCGAGTCAGTCAGTCAGTCTTCCTCCTACAGTCGAAACTTACAGTATGGCACGCACGGACGTGCTTAGGGTACCCGATCCTGCCTCTGCGGCCAGTCCTTCGCGGTGTTCCCTGGCCAGCCCATCAGGGTGTTGGCAGCCCGCCGCCCCAAAAAGTGTCAGCTTCGGCGTCCAAGGCTCTTGCGTCCTTGCCGCCCGTCCTTACTCTGGATTTCGCCTGCATCATCGGGTCAGCGCTTGACGTTGGTCGGCGGCGAGCGAGGGTGGGAATTGAGAAGGAGCCTTCTCAGAAGTCTCGGAAGGTCCGCGGCCTTCTGAGAAGTTTCCTGAGCCTCCCTCGAAGACAGGAACGATTTCTCAGAAGGCGTGAGGGCTTCCGAGAAGCCCGCCGCCTACTGAGAAGGCCTTCTCCTTCTCATTTCCCCCCCTCGCCCGCCGCCTAGTCGGGGCCGGCTGTGGGAAGGTCGCCACCCCACCACAGGGAGGCAGCTTCGGAGCGGGCGGTGCCTGGCCGCCTTTTTGGGGCAGGCTCGAGGGCGGGCGGGGCTGAGGAATCTGCGACCCACGGCCATGGAGGTTTCTGGATTCCCAGTTTTGGTCCGACAGCGGCCCTGGCATCGCTCGGACGTGTACATTTTTTCTCGGCGAGAACCATCGAGGACCATCCTGGACCATCGAGCAACGAAAGAAAAAAAGCACGCACGAAGCCGACAAATGTACAGAAAATGGACGTCCGAGCGACGGCAAGCTCTGGATTCCCAGTTTTGGTCCGACAGCGGCATGCCAGCGGTACACTGGGGTCAAGCATCAAGAAAGCAGGGCTCAAGCGACGGGGGTCCATGCAAACGGGGGTCCATGCAGAGCGCCGGATCTCGCAGGATCCTGCAGGGCCAGGGGTGCTTTGCCCCGGACTTGGGGTGCAGGATCCTGCATTATCCTGCAGGATCTTGCAGGATCCTGAGAAGCCTGACTGACCCGGGTCTGCATTGACCGGGTTCAGAAGATCCCCGAAGAAGACATATGTTTCACGTCAGCGTACCCTGGGTTTCCTTGCTCCGCGCGCTGGCTGCGGTGACGGCCCGCGCCTGCTGCAGAAGCTGCTGCGCTCAGGGTGCTCAAAGTTCCCCCCGATGTGCCTCTCGCGCGTTGGTTTTCAAGGCTTGGTTTCTTGCAAGGGTTTCTTGCGGCCGCGTCCGCACTGTATCCACCACGCTTCCCCACGCGCAGTAGTTCGGGCCCCCCCCCCTCCAAGAAGGGTGGAGAAAGCCTCCAGTTTTTCTGGGCGGGGCTCGGGCCCGACTTTGGTGTGGTGATGCCACCTGTGTGCTTCGGAGTCGTTGTTCTATTTCTCCTTGATTGAGTTGTTATCACTATGGTCCGTATCATTCTTATCATCCATCGCCTTTTATCTAGTGGCTTTCGGCTCATTCCTTCAACGTGCCTGGGTTGTGGGTCCGTTGCCTCTTGGATGCTTCCTGGCGTCTTTTCGGAAGCCTCTGAGGAGTCTCCAGTAGGCAGCTTTGAAGATCCCTCCTCCTTTCTGCCGTCCCGCCCCCTCTCCCTTCCCCGCCCCCTCTCTCTCACCTTCCCCCCCTCGCCTTCGTGCATTCCGACGCGCCCTGTCGCGCAAGGCCGGCCTGGCCGCGCTCGCCGCGGCCGCGGCCCAGCAGGCGATCCGAGTGGTTGGAGGGGTGAGGTCAGGCCAGGCCAGAACATATTTATATACCGGATATGTATATATGTATATATAAATACATATAGATACATCAGAGTAAGGGAGCCGGACGGTCATTCATTGTCCCTGGGTGCGTGGCTGAATAAGGAATTCGTGGTGCGAATTCTGCTTGTTGCGTTCTTGTTGTGGTGTGTGGTGGCGGTGGTTGTTTGTTGTTGTTGTTGTTGTTGAACATTATTAATTCTAAAGAATAATTATTGTTGGGACCCCTGGTGCACGGCCCCCCCGCCGCGCCTAGGCCGCAGCTACATTTTCATCATTTTTTCGCGAAAGCTTCAGAAAAGTGGATGGGGTCCAGATCCGGTTGTTTTGTTGTAATCCGTTTTCCCTTGCAAAAAACACTATAAAATGACATTTCTTGTTCTAATATAATCAAATTTCAAGAATCCCTTGCAAAAAATAAGGTAAAGTGGACATTCGCGCGCGCAAGACGAAATCCTTCCAAAAGCTTAGTGTTCGGAGCGATTTTAACATAAAAACATCAAAAAACCAATGGTTTTTCAACAAAAAAATGTCAAAATCTCATCCCGCGCGCTCTTGCGGATTCGTAGGAAACCCAACACTTTTTAAACATTTCTGTCAAACGGGCTTTTGCGAGCAACTTTTTCGAACTTCTGCGACAACGGTTGCGCACCTGCCAGGGCCATCATCCCTGTCAAATAATACCATGCGGGACACATTCGTTTTTTCTTCGCGCGCGCACGCCGAAATCTCCAAAAACCATTGGGTTCTTAAGAATTTTAGCACCGCGCATCATAAAATCACACGAATCGCACCGTAGGTCCTCGAAAAACACCTGCACGACTTTTCAAAATTTCCACCCGCGCGCGCTGTCCGAATCCCATCATCCCAGGAACTTGACCCAAAAATGTGACCAACTCCGCTCTCTCTGTCTCTCTCTCTGTCTGCTCTCTGTCTCTCTCTCTGTCTCTCTGTATTATGTATTGTATGGCACAATTGCACCATGCTGGGCACATGCGCGCCCCGAATAAGTGACCAAGTTCTGTGGGTGTGTACCCCACGCCAGTGTAGTAGCCACGGTCGTCCGCACGCCACGAAGTGAAGTGTCCCAACGTCATAGGGCGGGAAGCTGGGTTTGGGTGGTCGCGAAGAGTCGTTTGGATATTTGGTAGAGCTTGTAATGCCCCCCCACGAAGTGGGGGTATTGCCTGGTGTCGTATGAAAACCCTGGCACTGGGGAGAACACCACGCGTTCGGGTAAAATGATTGTTGTTGTTGTTGTTGTTGTTGGTTGTTGTTGTCGTCGTCCCACCCGCGACCCACCCCGCGACCCACCCCGCGACCCACCCCGCGACCCACCTCGCGACCCACCCCGCGAACCTCCCGCGACCCAACCCGCGACCCACCCCGCGACCCACCCCTCGACCCACCCGCGACCCACCCGCGACCCACCCGCGACCCACCCCGCGACCCACCCCGCGACCCACCCCGCGACCCATCCGCGACCCATCTGCGCCCCACCCGCGACCCGACCCACCCCGCGACCCAGTCTCAAGCGAGGAAAAATCCTTCCGGACCCGACACTTGATCTTTACTAAAACGGCCCTGGGCGTTGACTACACAGCGTTGCCCTGTTCGATTCGATTCATTCCTTGTCTGCGTTTATTAAACGGCTTCGCTTGTCGGGGTGATTATTATGAGTGGATTTTCTACCCTCTACACCCGCGATCCGACAGCGACCCACCCGCGAACCACCCGCGACCCATTGGCGACCCATTTGCGACCCACCCGCGACCTACCCACATCGGTTTCGCGAAACAAGTTGGCACCTGCGGCGGGCTCGTTGTAGAATTTGAAAATTGGGCGCCTGCGGCGGGCTTCTCCAGAGTCTCGCAGACTGCCGACGCCTCCACCGCCCCGTCATTCTTATCCGCATCTGCGGGGTGCTACGTATTGAGTATATCGGAGGTTGGTGGGTGTGAGCGGAAGTGACCCCAACCAGGAAGTCGGTTTCAGTTTCGGTTCGTGCTGTGCGTGCGTGCGGGGCGAAGCTGCGCGAGTTCCTGCAGTTGTAGAGGCCACATGGAGCCCAAAAGGTCAAGGTCGCCCGCCCCCGCCGCCCCCCCCCCCCAGCCGGGCGAGGCCCCCGATGGTTGTCCCGCGGGTGGTCTCGATGGTTGTCCCGCGGGTTGGCTTGGTGGTTGTCCCGATGGTTGTCAAGATGGTTGCCCCTATATTTCAACAGCCAATTGAGGAAACACGGAGAATCCCCCAGAAACCCTTCATATGTCCCCAAGAAGACCCAAGAGGTTCCCAAGAGGCCCTCAGGAGGCACGACGATGTCACGCGCCTGTGCTTGATAGCGCTGTCCAAGATCATCCACCGCCCCCCCCTGCCCGGGCTAGAACCTGAGCGCGCGCGATGCGCGCACGATGATTTTAGTAGAAAATGTATGCGCAGATGCATGCATTACACACATACATACATGCATACATGCATGCATACATACATACATATGTACACACATACATACATATATACATACATGTCTACATACAAACATACATGCATGCTTACATACATACATACATACATACATACGTGCATACATACATACATACATACATACTTACTTACTTACATCCATATACACATGCATACATATATACATGCATACATACATACATACATACATACATACATACATACGTACATAGACACGTACATATATACATACATACATACGTACGTACGTATGTACGTACGTTGTTTTACGTACGTACGTACGTACACACGAACATACATACACGCATACACACATATATACAGGTATGTATACATACATACATACATGCATACATACACACACCTACATACACACCCATACGTACACACATGTAGATATACATGTACACATACATACCTACATACATAAACACACATATATGCATGCATGCATGTATGTATGCATGCATGCATACATACATACATTCGTCCATACTTGCATACATATCTTCATATCTACATATACATAGATGTAAACATGCATATATACACACATAACTGCATGCATACATACACATACATCTGTGCACACCTATACATGTATGTATGTACATGTAGATATATCTATATATCTATCTATATCTATGTATGCAGTCACTGGCCGCGACGAGGGAGAGGGTTCCGGAGCCCGTGGCTTCCAAGGACCAGGTAGGTCCTCGTCCTGGGTCGTTCTTGGGCGGCCCGCGGGGTTACGAGAGCAGCCGACAGCTCCCAGGGAACCCCTCCTCCTCCAGGACCCGCATCCTGCATTCGAAGAGCAGACTGGCCCGGGGCGCTCTCGGAGGATCCCAGAGCGTCTCAGAGCGCTCGCAGACCGTTTGCCCGTCGGTCGTTGAAAGCAGGTATTTTGGGATGCCCAGATTCCAATCTACTTTATCGGTCTTCCTATTTCAAGCGTCGAGTGGTCTGCCTGTTTCCCTCCCCTTCAGGGGGGTCGGGCGTCAAATGCAATCTAATTCCAACGCCTTGCTATCTCATGGTTGTCCCCACTTCTTCCGCACGACGGGTATCTTGCTCCAGCTTATGATCCTTGGGGGAGGATCTCAGGGGGTGATGCGTCGCATCGACCCCGAGTCGCCCGCCACGCCCAGGAACGAGTGGATTCGGTGTCGGAGGCACAGCGCACAGCGCTGCTTCGTCAGAGAGACATCATCGAGTCACGGTCATCGTTTCTCACCTTGAGTTCGTCCCTCTCTCTCGTTCCCCCTCAGCTCTCGTCTTGTGTTCTTCCTGCCGGCGTAGTCGCAATGGGGGGGGTCGGCAGCGCGGCAAGCCGTGCTCGCCCAGGAGGATCGAGTGCCGAGGTCACCTTGTGGCAGTTCGTCACATGGTCGGCAGTTTGTTCGGCCCGCCCATCGGTACGAGCGAGGTGTGTATAGGTACGAAACTACAGTCAAAAACCCTAATAAGGACGCGCGACTTTGCTCAAGGTACCCTCGCGTCCTTGCTCTTCCTTGCTCTTGCGTCCTTGAGGTTTTCGTCGTTCGGCGCCCCAAAAATCCCAACTTCGGCGTCCAAGGGTCTGGCGTTCTCACCGCGCGTCCTTATTAGGGTTTAGCGCGGCAAGCCGTGCTCGCCCACCTTGTGGCAGTGCGTCACATAATCAGCAATTGATTCAACCCTCCCATCAAAAAAGCAAAGTAGATAAACATACGTGATAAAGAATGGGCACGACGACCGACGGCGATTCTTGCGCATGTTCGCCAGGAGGCAACAAGTCGCCTCTCAGACAGCGGCCGCTGCCGGTCTTGGGCAGCACGTGCCCGTGCGTCTGCCGCCGTGCACGTGTGCGCCGTGCTGCTGTCCGCCCCCGTGCGCGTGTCTTCGTTGACGGTGTTGGCGGCGTGCCTTCTCCGACGGCCAGGCGGCGGAGCGTGGCTATCCGAATGTTGCTACATCCGACTGGCGTGGCAAAAGTCCGTCGGCATCTGGCAAATCAGCTCCTCCTGTAAGCGGCATGCGTCGGCTGATGTCGACATTCGGTGTGAAAACCATGGCTCGGACATGCCAGGCCGCGCGTCAGACTTCGCCAGTGCATGTTTGGCTACGGCTACGGTGGTGCGGGCCGAGCAAGGGCAAATTGTATCCTCATGAGAGGACGTGGAACCTCACAGAGGGGCAGAAGTTCGTGTTTAGGTGTCGTAAGTGTATCTAATCTGCACGCTGATGCGGCAGAGCTTCCGCCCTCTCCCAACGAGGAGGGGACGAGACCCAGTGAGCAGCCAAGCGTAGTGCGAGACGCACTCCGTCAAGAGGAAGACGAGGCCACTCTGGGGCAATCTCCTCGCCTGAGTCGCGCGGAGTCCTCGGACTCCAATTAGTCCTTGACCCTTGGGTGGAAGCTATCTCGCGGAGGTGGGGGAGTAGGAGGAGGAGGAGGAGGAGGAGGAGGAGGAGGAGGAGGAGGAGGAGGAGGAGGGGCAGGAGGATGGGATATCGATGCCTTGTGGAAATTCTCCAGGAGGAGGAGGAGGAGGAGGAGGAGGAGGAGGAGGAATAGGAGGAGGAATAGGAGGAGGAATAGGAGGAGGAATAGGAGGAGGAATAGGAGGAGGAGGAGGTGGAGGAGGAGGAGGAGCCCCGTCTCTCGAGGACCCTCCCCCTCGAGGAGAGACACCCCTTCCCGAGGAGAGGTTCCTCCTCCTCAAGGATCTCCTCCCCCGCCCGCTCAGGACCAGCTGCCCCTGGCGCCGCGCGAGGAGAAGGCGTGCCTCCCCCGCGCTCCTCCTGATTCGGGCGTGTCCCTCTACAGGAGGAGCTTTCAGAAATAATCACACAAATAGTCAGGGGACGACTTTTTTTTAGTATTTCAGGATACTGTTTTGTTGTTGTTGTTGCTGCTTTCAATATGTCTTCAAACATCCGCCTGTAGGAGTACGCGCCCGACCTAACGCTTCCCCGTGGGAGGCAGGGGGCAGGAGCGCAGAGAGGCGGCGTGGCCCTCACGGAGCAGCCGCAGCCCTCCCGAGGGCTGCAAGGCAGCACCGGGCGCCGAGGTCTGCAGCGGGGGAGCCCTGGGGCAAGAGACGCCCTGCTTGCCTGCAGGGTGCCCTGGGTGCCCCGGGTTTCGGTGCTGCGTGCTGCCAGCGGCGCTCGCGGAGGCAGCTGTCCGTCACACGCGCAGTCCTGCACTCCCTCTGTGCGGGTCGTGTGTGGCGGGCCCCCCTTCCCACCCAAACGCAGTGCCGCTTTTAATGCATGCTCCGTGTGCGGATCATATATTAAAAATGCAGGGATTTAGTATTAAAAACAACGATGTGTTCATGCATAAATTTATTCCTGAATTTATAATAGTCTAAACATCTTTTGTATTACAATTGCCCTGTAGGCGCTTTCGCCTGAGCTGGGCGCCGCCTGTCGAGGCGTTGGGCGCCGCCGCGCGGCGCCACGACCGCTCAGCGCGCGCGTCGCACAAGAGTAGCCTTGGGATTCGATGGTTTTTTTGTTGCGATGGGTCGTGGCACTTTCCCACACCAGAAGGGCACTGTACCTCCCGGGGGTCTCAGGAGTGCGTGCCCTGTGGCAGGTGTCCTGTGGCCGAGCTCCTGCGGCACCCCCCGCCCCTGGCCGGGCCCCGGGGCCCAGGAGCGGGAGGAGGTGCCTCCTTGTGGCCAAGGCGGGGGTGGTGCGTACACCCCGCTCGTGGGCCCAGAGGGGGACCTGGCCAACGGTGGCGGGCAATTTCATGTTTTATGTGTATATAGGCGTATATATATACATATATATTTGTATATATATATGTATATATAGGTATGTATACACATACCTCTTCCTAGATTTTGATAAGCACGGGCGGGGGGACCCCCCCCCCTAAAACCGGACTCCCGGGATCTGGGGCTTTGGGACTTTCCGGGCGGGCCTCGAAGCGGCACCCCGGGCCTCGAAGGGCGCGGCGCGCTCACGGAACGATCCCAGAGAACCCCAATACGGTCCACGACGACCCCCAAAGGTCGCCCCGAAATGTCCCAAGAGGCCTCCAAGAGAACTCCCAAAAATGTCCCAAGGGGCAAGAATCATAGATTTTTGTTTGTTTTTAGTGAATTTGGGAGTTCTCCTGTATTCGGCTTCCCGACGCGGTCTTCTGGGCGTCCGAAGCCGCCAGTGAGGCCCCCAAAACGCCCCACAACCATCCGACTGCGACATATACATATACATATACTTATACATACACATATACATATGCATTTACATACACATTGTAAATACATTCACACACCTATGTATACAACACTGCATTGGCGCTTCGCGCCGTGCACTCTGGTCCGATGAGTGGACGGCGCAGGCAGATTGACAGGGGTAAGCCTGTCAGGGAGATCGATTTGGGTGGCCGATGTCGACATCACCGTGGTTACGTTGTTTGTGTGTTTCCTTTCCTTCTGTTTGTCTTCGTCCATCTTCTCTTCCCCATTCTCGACCGAATTAGCACGCGAAGGCTGCTTCGTCCTCTTCTGCTTATTCACGGAAGCTCCCTCGTGGCGAAGATCTGGGGAGCTTCGCGAAAGGATTGTTCGAGTTCCTGGGGACCTCTGGAGGCGGCCGTGGCGCCTTTCGGCAACAAGTAGGGAGGTCCTCGGGCCACCATACCGGGAATCAATTTCCAACGTGTTGTATTCTTGAACTTGGGGGGTCGTTTTGAAGACAGTTTGGAGCCGTGGTGTGGCCGTCTGTGGGCAGTTTGGGGGCCGTTTGGGGCCTTCATAGGGGCCCTCTTGGGCTGTCAGGAAGCCCGTGTGGCTTGTCTTGGAGCGGTCTGCGGTTTTTTTGTTGGTTTACAGCGATCTCGGACGCGTGGGAGCCTGAGCAAGCGAGTATCAAACAAAATTCAACAACCATGGGAAAATCCATGGTTTGGTTTTCCCAGCTTCGAGCGCCTGTTCCAATGGACTTTCGGGCCGCCTTCGGGCGTCCAGCGGGCAGGGGGGACCCCCCCCCGGGAGAGCGCACCTCCCGAGGGGGCAGGCATGCGCGCCTCGGGCGGGGGGGGTCCTCGGGAGAGGGGCCCTCGGCGCGCGCGCGGCCGCCCAGAAGGGGGCCGGCAGAGCCGGCGCGAGGACGCTTGCGCTCGAGTCGCAGTCGAGGTGTTGCACCGGGGCCTCTTGAGGTTCGGGGGTTCGGGGGTCAATGCAGACGGGCGTCAGCCACGGCACCGGATCCTGCAGGATCCTGCGAAGACCCCCTCTGGCTGACCCGGGTGAGCGAGCCGCTCGTGGCCGCGAGGCGGCCGCGGCTATTGGCTGACCCGGGCGGGTTTGCGAAGACCTGCGTTGCAGTTTTTGTTTCTTGCATTGCAGTTGTTGGTTTCCTGCTGACCCGGGTCTGGATTGACCTCGGTCAGAAGATCCCCGAGGGGTGGACAGACCTCCTACCCTGACCCGTCGATTAGCGAATTGGCCGTTTTCGGTTCGCGAGAGGGCGTCGCGGCCGTCATTCTTGCGGGTCCAGGTCCGTCGGTTTCGGTCCCAGGCCGTTGTCACTAAGCGGAGGTTTATTGAAGGGAGGTTTGTCCACCGCCGAGCTGTGGAGACGCATGCCCAGGGACACCCTGCTTGCCTCCAGGGTGTCCTGGGTTTCGATATGGTTTTGCTGTGGAAAGCGTGACGTTCCCGCACCAGGAATCCATGGACGTCCTGGGGTCTTAGGGCTGGGCTTCTTGTGGAAGGTCTCTGGTGGACTGGCCTCCACTGTAGATGGGGTCGGAGTGGGATGGTGTCAGAGGGATCGCGTCGCATAGCCAATGCATCGCCGATGCCGCTCGATGTGGATGTGGACGTGGAGCCCGATGTTCTACGCGCCGACGTCGCCGATGCACCGTTGCCGATGCTCTGGCGATGCATCGACGATCTGGTGTGATCCTTCGCCCCCATCTGGGAGACCCATATGGCAACCCCAGACAATTCTGGCGACCTTGTGTGGCACTCTGGAAGGTCAGGGGACCTTATCCTGTTCTGCCTCTCCCCCCCTCCCTCTCCCCTCGAACCCTCCCCGACATCCGACGATGTAGTTGGTTCAGTGCACGGCCCCAGAGGTGCCAGCCGCTTCCCTGGGTGCAGCTGTTCGTCCCGAGCGAATGTTTGAGTGTCCCGGGACCTGATGAACGGGGGTCCAGGGGCTGAAATCTGGGTAACAGGCCGCAGTCGAGCAAGTCATATCGTCGGATATTTGGGGTCTTTGCACGCCTTCTTCTCCAACCCTCCTTCAGACGTCGGGCGGCTCGGCAGCAAACACCGATACGACGGCAGATCTACCACGCCATTCTATTGGGCTCGTTCGGGATCCCAGGGGGGCAACTATTTCAATACAGATGTTTGGCTGCTGGATGACTGAGTTCCTCTCTTCAACCCAGTTGTTCTGCCCTCCTTCACTGATTCATTATCCCTCCATCCAGTCCTGACGATGCAACTCTTTGGAGATGTATTTCAGCATCGGTGCTGATGTTTCCGTGGTGGAAAACTGGCCCAATCCGACAGGGTCCTTTTTGATCACACTTGGAGTTGCTGAATCAGGCTCACTCAGATTTTATGATGGGCTCGATCTAGAGCCAAACTTGTCCGATTGTACCTTTGAACGGGTGGCTTGACGAGTCATGTGTCTGTCCTGCGAATACCTATAACGAGCTGCTTTCTATCCTCTCACCCTCCCTCTTGCCCTCCTCTCACCCCTCTCGTCCTCCCTCTCACCTTGTCGATACACCTTCTCTCTCACCCTCCCTCACGCCGGAGGCCGCGGAGCCAGTGCCCGAGGACCTCGACCTTCGAAAGAGGCTGGAGGACGTGTCTCAGGCCGCCATGCCTCGCGGCACTCTTTCCTGCTGCTGCGCTCTGCCCACGACCCCCTCGCGCCGTGAAGAAACACACGACGGGAAGCTCGTTGCTATTTTTCTGCCTCCTCTGGCCCGCGCCGGGCCCCGGGGCAGATCAGAGAGAGCTCAGGCTGAGATATCCCCCTCCCCCTCCTCCTCCTCCTCCTCCTCCTCCTCCTCCTCCTCCTCCTCCTCCTCCTCCTCCCCCTCCTCCTCCTCCCCCTCCTCCTCCTCCTCCTCCTCCTCTTTTTCCTCCTTCTCCTCCCCCCCTCCCCCTCCTCATTCTTGTGTTCCCCGAGGGCCCGGGCGCGCGGCGCGTGCCCTTCCTCCCCCCTTTCCCCCACACGCGTCCGTGGCGTTGTCGTGTCGCCTGCCGCCCCCCCGTCGTCGCCTTGTGTCGTTTCTTTAACCTTTGCCACGGGGCGCCTCTTGCGCTCGTTAAAAAAAAAAAGTGTTCCATCCTGCTGGGAACTCGAGGCAAGGGTGCATCGGCGACAGGTCCGCAGGAGGGGCCCCCTCCGACAGCAGGTGCGCCCAGGCTCTCCCCACCAGGGCTCGGGGCTCCGGTGCCCGAACAAGACGCCTTTGGCCAGCGGTCAGGCCCTGGGCTCGAGTCTGGCATGTCCCTCTACAGGAGGAGCATTCGAAAACAGTATCCAAAAGTCCGTGGACGTTTTTTGTTGTTCAATTGTGAAGACCTTTTGAACTATTTGTCTTGGGTATTTTCAAATGGTTCGCCCGAAATCCGCTCGTAGGAGAACATGCCCGACCTAACCCTGGGGGGCCGCGGCCTGCGGCCAAGGCGCCGAAACGAGGAGCAGATTGGGCTCGGATTCCGATTTTTGGGCCCGAGCAGTTTGCGGCCGGCCTAACCCTGGGCACGATTTTCGGGCCGGACGAAAGGGGGGAGTGGGAAAGGGGGGGTTACGAAATTTGCTGCATGCAGCCGGCTTCGGCCTCACCGAGGAGCCCATCCCTCGATACATAGCCGCCTCCGGCGCCGGGAGGCGCCGGGAAAATCAGCTACGTGAGCTGATTATCACCCCCCCCTTTGCTATCCCCCCCCTTTCGCCCGACCCGAGATTTTCTGGTCCTTCAAACGCCATGAACAGAAACTTGTGGCGCTCCGCGCGGATTCCTTGGATTCGCGCTGGACCCTCTCCCTGGCGGCCTGGCGCGCTCTCCGCGCGCCACGGAGGGGGGTCCAGCGCAGACCCAAGAAATCGAAGCGGAGCGCCAAAAGTTTATGTTTATGCCGTTTTATCTTCTCTTGTCTCTGTGGTTGTTCCTCTGGCTTTCCTCGTGCACGAAGGCACTTCGGGCGCCAAGCAGGGGCTCCGTTTTTTTTATTCGTCGCTCTTTTTTTTCAGCAGCGCGATTGCAGTTGCAGCGGTCGCTGCTGCAGGATGCCTAGGGCACAGGCCGCCCAGCGCCCCGAGCAGGCTACGGCGCCCTTCGGGGGCTCTTGCCCGCATGCCTCCCTCTGTCTCTCTTTCTCTCCCTCTCTCTCCCTCTCTCTTCTTCCGAGTCCCAGCTGCTTTTCGCATGTGTCGGCCAAACAAAAGCATCGGGGGTGGACAGACCCCCATCCCGACACGTCTATGAGTGGATTGTCCGTTTTCGGCCCTCGAGAGGGCGCCGCGGTCGTCTGTTTCCAGGCTTTTGCCCGCCAGGTTTGGGCCCGAGGTCGCTTTCACGAAACCGCGTTTTACTACCCCGAGGAGGCCTCCTCGTGCTCACTTCCTCGCTCGCCGCCGACGGAAAAAGGTGGCGTCGACCCCCGCAGCGCAACTCGGCGGCCCCGAAACCAGCCCGACTGAAAGCCTCCTCGGGCGAGGCCGCGGACGTCGCGCGAACAGCGCCTGCGTGACGCAGACGGCAGGCGCCGTGCTGTGTCCACCTGCGTGGCTCCCCGGCCCCCGTGGACTGGCCTCTGCGTCCCGAGGCCTTGGTACCGCTCGCTCGGACGTGTGCTTTCTTCACCGAGCGCGTTCCACTACTCGCAGAGTGCCTACTCGCGAACGTCTGAAAAGCACATGCCTGCTTTGATGTAAGTGATCGTAGATCCCCCTGCGGGGGATCCAGGCCATTTGTGAGTAGTTACATTGCGAGTAGTGGAACGCGCTCGTCTATTTCTTCGGCTACACCTAAAGTCGGGCGGGCCTGTCCCTCTACAAGAGGCGTAGTCAGGGGACGATTGTTTGACTATGTCTGAAGTTTGTTTGAATATGTTTGGGCTATAGTTTATTGTTCTTCCAAACTCCCCCTGTAGGAGGGCATGCCCGATCTAAGCCTTGGCATCGTTCGCTCTGACGGGTGCTTTCTTCGGCTACGCGTGAGAGTCACCCTGCGCCGGGTTAATATTTGGTGCGGGCTCACCGGGTCCCTGCGATCGCTGAGCGCGATGCGATCATTGTTGCCTGCGTGCCGCCCCCTTCATCCGCGCACCAAAGGTCACGCTTGCCCAGCGTCACTCTTGCGTGTGGCCGTTTCTTTTTTTCCGGCGAGCACCTTCGAGGCTCATGTTGGACCACGCTCCGAACAGATGCACGCACGAGACCGGACGCCCGAGCGATGGCAAGGAGGTGTGCCTCCGACGCGGCATCGCTCGGACGTGTGCTCGTTGTTCGTGGGCTGTCGGGGCTCGTGCTGGACCCCATCGAACAGGTGCACGCACGAGACCGAACAGTGCACGGGGGAGGGGAGGTCCGAGCGATGGTAAGGAGGTGTGCCTCCGACCCCGTGGACGGACGACCCCAGGGCATTTGGCAGGGGCCCGCCGGGGCCAAGAGGCGGCGAAACACCGAGACAACTGATGGGCCTGTTTTCCACCACCACCAGAAGTTGGGGGGGAGGGGGTCCTCTTCCTCCTCCTTCTCCTCCTCCTGCTCGCTTCCCCCCTCCAACTGATGGTGGTGGTACTCGAAAACATGCCCTGCAAAAACGCCGTCAATCTGTTACGCGGCGCGAAGATGTCAGGGACCCTCCCAGTGACGCCGCCGTCATTATGTTTGTCACACGGCGCGGGGATGTCAGGGCTCCTCCCGTCTAGCTTCGGGGGCGGCCAGGAGGGGGGGGATGACCACGGGGGGAATCTCACGGCGGGGGCCATGACACCTCCCCCAGATTGCATTGCATGGCGGGGGCCACTACGTCCCTGGATCTCACCTGGGCCGCGCCATGGTGAACAAGTGGCACGCGTGCTCTGGCTCTTGCACAATTTAGGAGAGGAGGAGGAGGAGGAGGAGGAGGAGCAGGAGGAGGAGCAGGAGCAGGAGCAGGAGCAGGAGCAGGAGGAGCAGGAGGAGCAGGAGGAGGAGGAGGAGGAGGAGGAGGAGGAGGAGGAGGGGATCCAGGAAACAAGGAGAAGGAGGAGGAGGAGGGAGGAGGAGGAGGAGGAAGAGGAGGAGGAGGAGGAGGAGGGGGAGGAGGAGGGGGAGGTGGGGCCAGGGCGCCCCGGTGCTGAATCAGCGGTTGTCGATTTGGACCTGCTTGATTGAGCTTTTTGACAGCTGAGGCGCTGTAGATTTTTCGAGGCTGGGCCAAGGGGGGAAGGCTGGGTCCGGGGACCTGGCCAGCGGGGCGAGGGGGGCTGGGGCCAGGACCAGGGGGGAAGGCTGGGTCCAGGGCCAGGGCCAGCGGGGCGAGGAGGGCTGGGTCCAGGGCAACGACCAGGACCAGAGGGACGACGACGACCGAAAATAAAGAGTCCGGGGCGAGTGGGGCTGGTGATAGGTCCAGGTGAGGAGGCTGGGTCCAGGGCCAAGACCACGAACGAAAATAAAGGATCCAGGGCGAGCGGGGCTGGGGCCAGAACCAGGGGAGAACGCTGGGTCCAAGGTTAGGGCCAGGGGGGCGACGACGAGGGGGGTACGGGCTATGAACAGGGTGGGAGGCTGGGTCCAGGGCCAGGACCAGGGGGACGACGACGAGGGGGTCCAGGGCCCAAACCAGGGGGACGACGACGAGGGGGATCAGGACATGGGGGGATGAGTATCCGGTCTCGTTTTGTTGAGGTATAATTTGTACCTTCTCCCCCCCGTTAACATCCTCGCACATGTCGCGGACGTTGTCAAAAGTACAATTTGTACCTTGTCTGCGTGGCGTCGGTACAAACTGTACCTTCTCCGTGGGGCGTAGGTACAATTTGTACCTCGGTTGCGCCTCTCTTCCCATCTGGACTTATCCCCCCAGTTGCATCCCGCTAGGTCAGGGATAGGGCCAGCGGTCGAGGGGGGCTGGGGCCCAAACCAGGGGGGAGGTTGGGTCCAGTGCCAGGACCAGGGGGACGACGACGAGGGGGGCAAGGGCTAGGACGAAAGGGGGAGGCTGGGTCCAAGGCCAGGGCCAACTGAACGACGACGAACGACAAGAAAGGGTCCGGCGCGAGGGGGGCTGGGGCCGGGGCTCAGGGAGGGAGGTTGGGCCCAGGGCCAGGGCCAGAGGGGGGCTGGGGCCAGGACCAGGGAGGGAGGTTGGGCCCGGGGCCAGGACCAGGGGGACGAGGGGGCGCGCTGGCTGGTGGGCTGGCTGCGCTGGGGGAAGGGCGCTGGCTGGTGGGACCGGCGAAATAAAGCGGCGCGCTGGCTGGTGGGACCAGTGCCGTGCCGAGATAAAGCGGTCGGGGCGGAGGGGGCGTGCTGGCTGGAGGGACCGATGCCGTGCCGAGATACAGCGGTCGGGGCGGAGGGGGCGCGCTGGCTGGTGGGACCGGAGCCGTGCCGAAATAAAGCGGTGGGGGCGAAGGGGGCGCTCTGGCTGGTGGGACCGGTGCCGTGCCGAAATAAAGCGGTCGAGGCGGAGGGGGCGTGCTGGCTGGAGGGACCGATGCCGTGCCGAAATACAGCGGTCGGGGCGGAGGGGGCGCGCTGGCTGGTGGGATTGGTGCCGTGCCGAGATAAAGCGGTCGAGGCGGAGGGGGCGCGCTGGCTGGAGGGACAGGTGCCGAAGGGGCGCGCTGGCTGGCGGGCTGGCTGCGCTGGCTGGCGGGGGAGGGATGCGGAGGGCCGATGGGCTGCTTCGGCATGGCTGTTAGAAAAAGCGGATGCGGAGGGGGCCCGCTGGGAGGTGGGGCCTAGGGACTGCATCGACCGGTGCCGTGCCGAAATACAGTCGTCGGAGCTCTAGACACCCCGTTCAAGAGAATAATACATCCCGCTCCCCCTCCTCCTCTTCATCCTTGCTGATCAGCCGTTGTGCTGATCCGTCTCTCTGGGGCCTCAGGAGCCCCTGAGGCGCCCCCATTTCGGCCTCTCCCGTCCCTTCGGGTTCGGGTGGGGCTGCTGGACCTGGACCCCCGTCCTCTCCGTCATCCGAGGCATCCCACATGGGGTGCGAGCAGCTGGGGTCGGAGGATCGCGCCGCATCGCCGATGCATCGGCGGTGCGGCTGGATGTGGAGCCCGACGTTCTCCTCGCCGAGCATCGCCGACGCCGCCGATGCATCGGGGATGCGTCGCCGATGCACCGGCGATGCAGCGCGATCCTCCGGCCCCAGCCTTGAGTCGGGCATGTCCCTCTACAGGAGGAGTATTCAGAAATAGTTTAAACATAGTCTGGGGACGAAATTTGCAGTATCTGGAGTTTTTTGGTTGAATATGTTTCGAGTTGTTGTTTCACCCAAAAGCCGCCTGTAGGGGGACATGCCCAACCTGACCCCAGCGTCCCGGATCCCGTCTGGGAGGCATCGTTAGTCATTCTCCTTCGCATCCCCGCCCCTCCTCCTCTTGTCTCTCAGCCTCCCTTTCCCCTCCGCTTCGTCGTCCTCCTCTTCCATCCAGCCCATCTCGAAGAAGAAAACTTCTGCATAAACTTATGATTTTCCAATCTTTTTCAGCCTTGACCACTTGAAAGACTTTCGAGCACCACGAAAGTACCGAAGCTCGAAGGTCTTCATGTGTCGGGCCCTGGGAGGCGATACTCGTTCGACATTGTTTCGACACCTTTATGGGTGCTCGGAATTATTTATTGAATGTGGTCCTTATTCACGATGGGAGCAACATATGCATAAACTTCAGTCGGGGCTGTCCCCTACAGGAGGAATAGAGTCCAAAATGATCAAAAAAGTAGTCCAGGGACGGTGTTTGGACTATTGCTGATGCTTCCTTGATAAAAACTATGTCTGGGGTATGTTTTATGTTTCGTCCCAAATCCCCCATGTGGGGGGACATGCCCGCATCGAGCATAAACGTAAACTTCGGGGGCTCCGCGCGGATTTCTTGCATCGGCGCTGGGCGCTGGGACCCCCGGCGCCCTGGCGCGCGGCCCGCGGCCAGGGGCGTCGCCGCAGGCGCCGCCGTGGGGCCCCAGCGTAGATCCAAGAGATCCGCGCGGAGCTCCGAAAGTGTAAGTTCAAGTGGGGCTTGTCCCTCTACATGATTTTTTTTGTCAAAAAAGTGTAATACTATGGAAACGATGATTCTGTTTTTAGTTTCAACTAGTTCTGAGCATTGTTGGAGTATGTCTCATTTTTCATTTAAAACCCGTTTGTAGGGGGACGTGCCCGACCTAAGTGTGAGTCTGTGCGTGTGTGTCCATGCAGGCTTGCTGTCCTCGCTCATCTTCGTCCTTCCCCCCCCACCCCTCTCGGGCCGGACGAAAGGGGGGGATTGGGAAAGGGGGGGTTACGACATTTGCTGCATGCAGCTGGTTTCGGCCTCACCGAGGGGCCCATTCCTCGATACATAGCCGCCTCCGGCGCCGGGAGGCGCTGGGAAAATCAGCTACGTGAGCTGATTCTCAAACCCGCTCTTTTGCTATCCCCTCCTTTCGCCCGACCCGACCCTCACCCGCAGTCTCCTCGTCCCCATGGCACTCCCCCGCGCCGCGCGGCGCTCTGGAGGCCATGGGCAAAGACGCCGCGCGAGGTCGGGCGGCGGGCGTCTCGTGCCGCCCCGCCCCGTCGTTCACGCACCTGTGCGGGTGTTGCTGACAAGTGCCCCTTGCCCAAGGGCCCAAGGTGCCCCTCGTGATTTCCAGGGTGGCCCCCACGGCCTCCAGAGCACCCCTATCACGAGGCCCAGAGGGCCCCGGGGGGGCTCCAGACTTGAGCGAACAGCTGGGGGCACCTTGTGCCAGGGGCACCTTCAGTAACCCTCGACGTGTGCATCCAACATGAAACAATTCGCAAAAGCACATTGACAATACTTTGCTTCGACGGATCCCGACCGAAACCCTCGGCGTGTGGTACAGAGTTTGGTGCTGTATGTTATTGTGCAGGTCAGCCTGAGTTCGGGACGCATGTCTCGTTCGATTTGACGCCATTGTTCGGTCGCTGCCGGGTTATATTTCATCACGTTCTTTTCGCTTCACGTTCTATTATTTTCTATAGTACGTGTTGTTCAATTGACGTGGTGGCGTCACGTCTAATCGGCCGCTGTTGTCTCTGGTGTTGTCCCGTGTCGTCCCTTAGGCCGGCGTGGATGCTGTGTTTGACGTGTTTGACAGGGCGCCAGTATTCGGTCGCTTGGTATATGAAACAGGTTTGAATTATGGTATATCCAACTACGCTTTAGTGTGGTCTACTGTATTATGTCATGTTGTGTTCTCGACGGGCCGGCGTGACGGCTTGGCGCCTGTCACGTTAGATACGTCTTCCAATCGGTCGTTGCTGCACCTGCTTGTTCCTGTTGACACCCTGACCCCAGCGCGCATGTCGGGTTTGAGTATATTATGGTACGGTCGATTATTTTATGGAAACCGTGTGAGTCGACGCCTCGAACTGGTGGCTTCTGTATAGTATTGTGTGTGTTTCTGCTCGCTTGAGTTCTGCCCCAGTGTAGTACATGACATTGTGTGCTGCTGTGTTATGTTCCAGAAGAGCTAGCGTGCCGTCGTGACGCCCGTCACGTTTGATATGCCGTCTGCTACTGCTTGTTCACGTGGCCAGCGTAGGCTCGGCGCGCACGTCGCGTATGTTTGGACGGCATTACTCGGTCCCTGCCGTATTCAACATTGTTCCGTTCGGTTCTGTTCTGTTCAGCCTGGTTCCAAAAGCTCTTTCATCGGATGCATCGTCCTCGCGTCATCCAACCTCAATTTTGCTGGGTTTGTCAAGTTCGTTGGATTTCTGTGCGTGGCTTGTTCTTCTTCCTCGGGGGTATGTCTCCGCTTGGCCCGCGTCCGTGGTGCTTCTTCAACTTACGACCGCGCCCTCTGTGGGTATGTACGTTCATGCGTGCGACTGTGAGTTTTCGAGCCCAGGTGATTGCTCGAACCTAAGCGCGCGAAGCGCGCGCGTGGTTCTAGCATGTGAGTATGTATGTATGTATATATATATAGATATGTACACATATCTATATTAATATGGTTGTTGTTCAGCACGGAATCCCCGGGAGAGGGGTGAGGCTCTCGACCCCCTCCTGGGGACGGGACTCTCATCCCAAGCCGGTCTTGCGGCGGCCCCGGGGCCTGGCGAGGTCCTGAAGGAGGCAGGGAGCTTCGAACAGCTTCTTCGGGGGAGGGAAGTCGGCCACCCGCAGAGGGGGATAGGGGAGGGAGGAGGAGGAGGAGGAGGAGGAGGAGGAGGAGGAGGAGGAGGAGGAGGAGGAGGAGGAGGAGGAGGAGGAGGAGGAGGAGGAGGAGGAGGAGGAGGAGGAGGAGGAGGAGGAGGAGGAGGAGGAGGAGGAGGAGGAGGAGGAGGAGGAGGAGGAGGAGGAGGAGGAGGAGGAGGAGGAGGAGAGGAGGAGGAGGAGGAGGGGAGGAGGGAGGAGGAGGAGGAGGAGGAGGAGGAGGAGGAGGAGGAGGAGGAGGGAGGAGGAGGAGGAGGAGGAGGAGGAGGAGGAGGAGGAGGGGCAGGGGGGAAGGCTTCTTAGAAGCACCGCTGCTTCTTAGAAGGCGCGGGCCTTCTAGGAAGCAGGCCCCTTCAGAGAAGCTTTGCCCCTTCCCCCTTACCCCCCTGTGCGCGCCGACAGGGAAAGGCATGCGGCAGACCTTCCCTCGTTTGCGCTTTTGTGGGCCTCCTGGAAGGCACTCCTCGCCACTGCTGGATCCGCTTCGACACTATGGTCAGAACGCATCCTGGAAGAAGTCCAGGCAGCAGCGGTATCGGTACCTTCTGGTTTCCCCACCTCCGCCTTGATTTCTACAACATGATGGGCCGATGTTCCACCACCGCTACCATAGGTAATAGAGAGAGAGAGGAGAAGAAGGAGGATGAGGAGGAGGGGCAGGAGGAGGAGAGGAGGAGGACTCCCCATCCTCCTCCCTTCTCCACCGCCCTGCACATGGCAGCGGTGGTGGCACATTGATCTCATCACAGCACGCTGGCTCTCGAGACTCCACGCCGCTCCCTCCGTGGGCGCGGGCGGGCGTGACTCTCCTGCGGGGCGCGGCTGCTTTTCGTGCCCCAGCGCTCGCGCCCCGTGCCGCCGGCGGCGTCGGGCAGGCCTGCTCGGCAATGCCGTGAAGGTGCTGCAGAGACTAGCGAAGGACGGCGGTGGGCGCTCTCTGCGCGTTGGGGTGCCCCGCGCGCGCGAGCCGCGGCCGCGCTCGGAGACAGCTCGCTAGCGCGCGAGCGGGAGAATGCATGTCCCGGGAGGCCAGTCGTCGATGGTAAAAGAGCCCTCCACCCTCAGAACACAGTGAAGACCTGGCCTTACTGTGAGGTCCCCGTCTGGGCATTAGGGATCGTTGTTCTGGGCGGTCTGCTTTGATGCAGCTGCAGATTGGACCCCCCCATCCAACATCTCGTTGGCCCTCCCAACTTTGGTCGCCTCCCAAAAGGGTTAGAGGTCCTTTGTTGGTCGATCAGTTCAGGCAGCAGCATCGGCGATGGTTGGAGCCGGTTGGGGGTCCGAGGTGGCCCAGCACTGGTTCCGACCAGCAGGAAGGGGGGCGCGAGGCGAGTCGAGTTGCTGGGCTTGGGCAGGGTTTTTGCTTTTTCGGCCTCCGGATGGCCGTTCTCGGAACGTCAAAAACGGATCCAGGGGGATACATCATAGGTTTTTGGGTTTTCTCTCCATTATAGATTTTGCTCCCAACTCTGGTTTCTCAAGTGTGCTCAGAGCAGTTCTGATGTGCACTGTGCTCCGTGGGTCGCGCTTCCCACGTTTTGGAATGTCTGGGAGTGTCCACAAATCCGAGAACACAGTAAACACAAATCAGTCAAGTCAGTTGATTCAAATGCCAACCGACACTACACTAGATGGACACGAGGGGTTCGGCGAACGATTTCGAACAGATTTGCCTTCCCTCGTGACGGATTTTCGCTGGGCCCATCCTCAGCTCAGACCCCCCTGGGCCGCCTCCAAGCCCGGGGTGCAGCTCCTCGAGGTTCGAAGGGCGGACATATTAGCATGAATTCGGGCGTGTCCCTCTACAGGAGGTACGTTCACACACAGTACAACAATTGCTATGGGGACGATTTTCCGATTCCGTCGTGACTATTGTTGAGTATTTGTTGTGAGGACGTTTCATTGTTCGTCCGAAATCCGCTTGTAGGCGGACATGCCCGACCTACGATTAGCATCGGCGATGCTACGCAGACCTCCAGCATCTCCAGGAGCTCACTGCGGACGGTGTGTTCGCCGTTCTCTCGGCCTCCTGAGGGCCCTCGCTGGGCCTGCGCGGCTGTCAGGAGACGACTCGGGATGAAGTTCAGTCGGGCGTGTCCCTGTACAGGAGGAGCATTCAAAACTGGTCAACCAATAGTCTGGGGACGATTTTTGGACTATGTTTGTCGATGTTTGCGCATTTGTTGACTATTTCCATGTTTCGTCCAAAATCCGCCTGTAGGAAAACACGCCCGACCTGAGGAGAAAGAGGCTGCCCTGGGGAGTGGGTCCGGACCGCTGGGGAGCGACGCTGTGAGAAGAGCACGGCCTTCGGATGTCCAGGGGGTCCTTCCGTGGTCGACAGCGGGCATGGCCCCGCTCAATGTTTGCCCACTGCCGCTTCCTTTGGCGAACTCCTGGGCCCAGTCTGGACCAGTCCGGCGCAGTGGTATCCTCACACTGGCTTGAATGTCGCTGATTTCCCAGGGTTGGTTGTGGTGGCGGGATGAGGCGGAGTAGGCGGACGCAGGGGGGCGGGATGAGGGGGGGAGAGGAGGAGGTAGAGGAGGAGGGGGAGGAGGAGGAGGAGGAGGAGGAGGAGGAGGAGGAGGAGGAGGAGGGGGGGGAGGAGGAGGTGGAGGACCTTCTCACGAAGACCTCCCAGAAGCTGCTCCCTGGTGCGCGTTGGCGGGCGACGAGGGCCCACGTTAGCCCGAGGCAGCCAGATTCTACTCAGGTCGGGGCGATCATGGACTACGGTCGGACCGAGGTAGAAATCCAGGTCGGCCCGGGGAGGGTACCTCAGGTTCTTCGTGCTTCTTGGATGTGCTTGTGCACCCTGTGAGGAGAGTGCTTCGTCTGTCTTCTAGGTCTGGCTGTTCACTCCTGCTTCCAACGGGTCACGTTTTTTTTGTTTGTGATCCCGAAGGCATCACCTCTCCATTCCCGTCTCGCCGATCGCGAACGCCAGCACGACCAGGGCGCACTGGCGGGGCGCACGGTCACTGCACCACGACAGCGAAGGGGGTTGTCGTGAGGAGAGCTTGCAGCAGCACCAGCTCGGGGAAGACGCCGCCCAAGGCGAGGCCGTCGCTGCCGAGCGGGCCCACGCTGCTGGGATCGGCATTGCCAACGCGTCACGACGCTGCCAGCCTCGCGGCAAGCGGGCCCCCGCAAAGCACCGGGCTCTACTCTGCGTGGGCTCGCTTCTCCGCTCTGGAGGCTGGCGTCGGGCGCCGGGGCCATGCACTGCAGCTCCAGGTGCGTCGAGCGGGCCTCGGGGAATGTGGTCGGGAGGAGGGACTTCCATGGCACGCCGCTGCTGTTAGTCCGCGAGCGTGTTACTCCTTCGCTTCTGTGTCCCAGCACGTGGCGTTTCTCCAACAGCACCACTCTGATGGGTTCCAACCTGCGGCTTGATACACATTTGCTTATACATATGGGTATATACATATATGTATGTTTCCAAGTCTATTGTGAACATGTATATGTCTGCATGTCTTTATGTATTTTATCATTTGTATATACACATATGCGTTTGTATGTGTATATATATAATTATGTACGGATCGATTGTTCCGAAATGGAGACGAGATGTCTTGGGGCCCATGCCTCGAAAGCGACAGTCCAGCCGCCATAGTGCATGGTGATGTATCTGGGCGGGTCCTGTGGAGGAGAAGATGCGGCGGCGAGAGGAGGAGGAGGAGGCGGAGGAGGAGGAGGAGGAGGAGGCGGAGGAGGGGGAGGAGGAGGAGGAGGAGGAGCAGCAGCAGGAGGAGGAGGAGGAGCAGCAGCAGCAGGAGGAGGAGGAGCAGGTGGAGCGGGACGAGCAGGGGGGGGGTGAGGACGGGAGGAGGTATAGTTTTTTGTCGGGGGCGGCCAAGAGGGGGTGATGACTAGGGGGGGATGGATCTCATGGCGGGGGCCGTGATAGCTCCCCAGATTTCACGGCGCCACTTCCCATTCCAGCGCGTCCCCTGCCCCCCCCCCCTCCCGTGGGCTGCGCACATGCCGCCGACCATGATCTGCGCCGCCGGCTCTCGGACGCCCCCCTTCTTGGGCGCCCCCCACATATGGGCAGACCACCACGTCTGGGAGGCGAGGCCAAGGAGGGGGTACGATCAAGTCGGGCGTGTCCCTCTGCAGGAGGAAAAATTCAAAGTAGTACAACAATAGCCTGGGGACGATTTTTCTGTTATTTTTGACATACTTTTGGGGTATTGTTTTGAGTTTTTTCGAGAACAAAAATTGTCGCTCAAAATCTGCGTGTAGGGGGACATGCCCGACCTAAACACATGGGCAGATCACCACGTCGAGGAGGCGAGGCCAACGAGGGGGTGCCATGGAGGCGGTAGGCGGAGAGGACGACTCCTTCTGGCGTCCAGGAGCCATGCGATCTCCCTCCGATTCACCCTCTCCTCCATCCCGTGCCGGTGAACGAGCGCCGCCCGCGTCCCACTGCGGACGCCAGCTGGCGGACGTGAAGGGGAGATCCGGAGTGTTGCCAGGACCCACGCTGTGGCTCCCTCTTCCTCGGCGCGCGCTGGCAGCCTGGGTTGGCCCAGTCCTCCTGTGCAGGTCTTTAGGGGGCCACATGCGAACCCTACCCCCACCCCCCCCTCAGAAATCGTGAGGTGGGGGTAGGGTTCGCATGTGGCCCCCTAGTCTTCCCTCCCCATGCTGCCGGTGAGTGGACCTCCGAAGGCGGCCTCGTGGCTCCACGCTCTCCCCCATCCTTGCAATGGTGGCCCCAGGATGGGGAGGACGAGGCACGCCTCGCCCGGCAGGGCGCGCCCCCCGCCCCCTCCCCACCTCGCCACGAAGCAGGAGGGAGAGAAACTAGGACCACCCTTCGTCATTCTCAGGATGGCCCCTGTCGGGCCAGCCCGAGTCCCCTGTGCACGAGTCTTACGCCTCCCCGACTGCTGCGCTGCCGCGGAGGACCAGGCGAACCCGAAGCTGCACGAGATGCGGAAGGAGGTGCTGGAGCGCATCGTAGGCGGGGGGGCGTGGCCGCGGGGGGGCGGGCGCGCGGAAAGCCTCTCCGCTCTCGCCGCAGTCCTGGGGCCGCCTCGGGGCCGTCTGGGGGCGCTCCGGGGCCCTCCGGTCAAGCAGTGGCGAAGCGTCCTGGCGTGCCTGTAGGCCCTCCAAGCCATGTTCTAAGAACCTCTTGTGTTTTCCAGGAAATGTGCTTAGAACATTTCTGGCTGGGACGGTCTTGGTTTATCGCATCGGGTGTATGTTTTAAGAACACGGCTTCTATTATCAGAACATGTGCTGGCTTCTAAGAGCTCTCCGTGGTTGGCCTATGGCCTGCTGCGACGGTCGCTTCTTAGGACACGTTGAGGGTGTTTTTTAGGGACACGAACAGTGACATGAACATCAAGACTCGGAGGTCAGCGCTGATTTCTCGGATCGGCGCTGGGGCCCCCTGGCGGCCCCTCCGGCGCCGCCCCTGGCGCGCTCCGCGCGCCAGGGAGGGGGGTTCAGCGCGGATCCGAGAAATCCGTGCGGACCTCCGAGTTTGGATGTTTCTGTCCTTGTTTGTTCTCCCATTTTGCGGGCCGTCCTGGGCGGGGCCGCTCCCGTCCTGGAGGCCTGCGCGACGAACCCCGCGAGCGCCCACGAGCGCCCCTCGCGCTGGGTGTTTGGGTCGACCTGCTGGCGCAGGTCGGGGGTTCAGGGGTGATTCCTCGTGAGGGTTCCTCGGGGCGCTTCGCTCGGTCCGCCAGCCCACATCCCATCGTCGCTGGTGCGCTGTGGGGGGGGGCGAGGGGCAGAGGGCAGGGTTCATGGGGCGAGCGGGGGGGGGAGGGAGCAAGCGGCTGCGGCATGGAACTGAGCGGCATTCCAAATTCGAGCGACGCTCAGTTGCATATTCTAATTCCCCAGCGGCTCCTGCAACGACCTGTATATATATATAATCATATATATATACACATATATATATATATGTTGGCATCTGCCGGTGTGATGGTGGCGATCGTGACGAAGCAGGCACGTAGATCAGCGCCCCCATGTGGTCTCTTGGTGTAGTTGCTCGGCGCCGTCATCCTTCCGGCGGTATGCGTTGCGAAGGTCTGCGCGTCAATGGGGGGTGGTGCGCATTGGCCGACGTCGTGTGGCGAAAGTGCTCAAGAGTGCCGCATGTCTCTCAATGTGCTACTTTTTGAACGCGGCATTCTTTGATAGGCGCATTGCATTGAGAACGGGATGGGTATTGTCTCCGGTACCGGGCGAACGTTGGCCTGTATCTGACGTGCACAGCACTGAAGGGATCTTCGCGGGTACTGTTGATGTCTCTTCTTTGTTGAACGCCGTTTCCGGTTGACGGCGAGATTCTTTCGTTCCCGGGTTTTGAGTGCATGGGTTCTTCGTGTATCATAAGTTGGTGTGTGTGTGTGAGTGTGTCTGTGTGTCTGTGTGTGTTTGTTCCAGTCTGTGCGGGCCAGAACGCGCAATAGGGGAACAACAAGTGACATAAACATACAAGCTCGGAGGTCCGCGCGGATTTCTCGGATCGGCGCTGGGGCCCCCCGGCGGCGCCTCCGGCGCAGCCCCTGGCGCGCTCCGCGCGCCAGGGAGGGGGGTCCAGCGCCATCCCGAGAAATCCGCGCGGACCTTAGAGTTTTTATGTTTCTGTCACTTTTAGTTCCCTTACGCGAGGACTTGGCACCAGCGTGCGAACCTCATGCGGTGCGCAGCGGAGAGCAGAGGCTGCAGACGAGGTCGAGGGTGGAGGGCCGAGAGGGGAGTGCTTCAAGCTAGGTGCGACCGCGCCACATCCAACATTGGGTCGGGCATGCCCCCCCACAGAACGATTTTGAACAGCAAATTGAATAATAGTCAACACACATACGCCAATATGTTCAGAAATAGTCGAAACGTCGTCACCAGACATTTCTTGTTGTTGCTATTTTTGAAGTCTCCTCCTGTAGAGGGACACGCCAGGTCGGGCATGCCCCCCTGCGGGCAGATTTTGGACGGCAAATAAAACATAGACAAGCAATATTCCAGAGTTTTCAAACACAGTCGAAACAGATCGGCCCCAGACTATTTTGTTGGCTATTTTTGAATTCTCCTCCGGTAGAGGGACTCGCCCGACTTGAATCCAACACCCAGCCCCTCCCTCCCGTCCCCTTCGCATTGCTCTCATTGCTTCTCCACCCGCCGACGGGTGCCACAGCGGACCTGGCGCCCCCAGATAGCCCCATTGCGGTGCGCTCAAGCAGAAAATGCGAGTTTTCTACTTTGAAGGATGGGGAATGAGGCGGATGACGAGCATGAGCATGACCAGGATGAAAGGTGGCTGGTGAGCATGAGGATGGTCAGGATGACGAGCAGAAGGATGAGCAGGGGTGAGGAAGAGGAGTGGCCGCAGCAGCAGGAGCAGGAGGTGAGTGGGACGGGGGGAGCAGCCGGGCCGGAGGGAGGCAGGGGAGGTGACAAAAGTCGGGGAGGCAACGATGAGCGGAGGACTCGGATGCAGAACAGCGGCCCACGTTGTCACGAGAGTGCCATTCCGAGTGACGGGGGATGAGCGCCGATCTTAGCATGAGGCCAACGCTGCAGTTTCGAGCGCCAGTTCGGAAGGGCTCGGCGCGTCCCGACGGGAGTCGAGCAAATCACACAGACAACCATTCGCCTGCATCTGGCGTGTTAAGACGGGGGATTGGGGCGGCCTCTCCCAAACCATTTTCGTGGGGGCGAGGACAGCAGTCTTTTTATCACGCTGGGTGCTCTCGCGCCACATCTGACGTCGTATCACCACCCCCCCCCGCATCCCTCGCCATGGCGCTAATTGCTTTCCAACCCTCCTGTGTTTGGGTTTCGTGGTCTCCACCTCTCTCCTCCCGCCGCCTCTTCCCAACCCTGCTTCCTTGGGTGTTCCTTTGGAGTAGAGCGCTCTTGCCCCCACCTCCGCTCCCGCCTCCCCCCCTTCCTCGACCTTCCTGCGCTGCTTCGTGGGAGGCTGCGAACTGTGCAGTTGTCGCCACGTTCGTGGGCTCCTGGGAGGCACGGCGGAGGTGAAGGCAGCCCAGATCCTTTCGAGACCTCGCGGCTCCCTCCGGGGCTGCAGCCTGCGCAATTGTCGCCATTTTCGTGGGCTTTTGGAAGGCACGGCGGAGGTGCGGGGCAGCGCAGATCCCTTGAGGACCTCTCGGCTCTCTCGGGGGCATCTGGCTGCGCAATTGTCGCCACTTTCGTTGGGATGCACGTTTGAGGTGAGGGTCTTCAGGTAAAGTGTGTTCTGTTGTATACAGCGTCCATATAAGTAGACGCGCTGTGTGTAGGAAACGGTTGGGAACGTCTCGGGAAGTTCTCTATCCGCGAACGCGTGTCATATCTAGCCGGCCTGGAACTTCAGAAACAGAAACCTCTCCATCGTGTTGTGTGCACTCGTAAAAGTGGGTGCTGCGTACATACGTAGGATGTGGAGGAGGAGCAGGAGGTGGCGGGTAAGCAGGAGGATGAGCAGGAGGAACGGGAACACCATGGGAAATGCAGAGGACGAGGACGAACAGCTTCAGCAAGAGCTCGTGTGGAAGGAGCGGGGTGAGTAATGAATTGCGGATTGGGGAGCGGATAGTAGAACATCGACATATGCCTGCTCGCCATCCTTGGCTCTTGCCCCTCTCTAGCACGCTGCCTTTACACGCTTCGCGCGAGCGAGTTATTTTTGGCTGGTGGGCTATATAGTGAAGACCCATGCCAAGAAACACCCTGCTGGCCTCCAGGGTGCCCTGGGTCTCATTGGGTCCGATGGCTCTGCGATGGGAAGCGTGACGCCCTGGGGCCTCAGGGTTGGGTTTCTTGTGGAAGGCCCCTTGTGGTCGGGCCTCCGCTGCACCCAGATGGCCCTCTGCCCATCCGCCACCGTGCCCGCCGGGCCTGCGGCTCTTGGGGTCTGCCTCTCGGGGGCCCGCTGGGGGCACCCCCGGAGGCTCCCCGCGGGCCTCTTCATGTGTGTGGGGGCCTCCCGGGAGGCCTCCCTCGGAGGCCCTCGGTGCGGGCGTGCTGCGGGCCTCCTGTGGGGGCCTTTCCTGCGCGCTCCGGCTGGAGGCCTCTGTGGGTGTCTCTCTGTGCGACCTCGGGGGCCATGTTGGTACACGAGGGCTCGTGGGGCCGGCTCGGGGTCCCCAATCTCGGCGGCGAGCGAGGGGGTGTGTGAGAAGGAGAAGGCCTTCTCAGAAGCCTCGGCCGGCCTCCTGAGGAGGGGAAGCGAGTCCCCCAGCCGTCTGGGAAGGTTTCTAAGCCTTCCCCGAAGCCAACACGACAACCTCTCAGAAGGCGCGAGGGCTTCTGAGAATTCCCGCCGCCTGCTGTCCGCCGACCAATCATCTGGGGCTGGATCCCGGGGAGAAGTCGCTCAGGGGGCCCCGCCGAGGAGCGGCTGGGGGCGCCCAGGAGCGCCTGGAGCTCGGGATCCCTGGCCCCTTTGCAGAACACTCGCAGTTCTTCAGCGCAGGGAGCCCCAAGACATCTTCGGACGTTCCGCCGATATCTGCGAACACCACGCATACTGCCTCTGGTGCACGACTGTGGACACACATTCCGCATTAATTCCAAGGCATTCGGCCGAGGAAAGTGGAAGAGCACATGCGAGCGTTGGAGCATATTTGGGAGGAGGAGGAGGGAGGTGGGGTTGAGGAAGAGGGGGGAGGGACCAGTGAACCAGCAGTTTTGACGTATGATTGTGTCCTTCTCTGGGCTGGCAGGCGAGAGCTTATTTTTCGTCTTCGAGGCCGCTGGATTTGAGGCGGGCGTGCCCGCGGCCTCTGACGAGATCGCAAGAGGGGACTTGGGATCGTATACGGTCGGACGGAGGTATAAGATCCCTAATGTTCGGACAGAGGTATAAGATCCCTAATGTTCGGACCGAGGTTGGTTCGGGGAGAGTGCCCTAATGTTCTTCGTGTTTGTTGGATGTATGTGTGCATGCTTGGAAGGGGTGTACTCTCGAATGTTCTTCAGTTTGACTGGTGGAGGGTCTCATGTTCTTGAAGGATGCTCTTCTGTCCTAGGTCTGGCCGTATCGCATAGATGGCCTTCTCCCGCGCCCGTGGTGAGCTCACGCCTCTCGAGTCCGTGCCGATGCTTTGGTTCCGCACGCACCCTGCGAGGCGGCCTGTCTGTCCATGCAGGCAGGTACAGTGGAAACCCATGCAAAGAAACACCCTGCTTGCCTCCAGGGTGGCCTGGGTCTCTTGAGTTTCGATGGTTTTGCAATGGAAAGCGTGACGTTCCCACACCAGAAGTCAGAGGACGTCTGGGGGTCTGAGGGTCGGGTTTCGTATGGAAGGTTTCTTGTGGTCGGGCCCCTACTGTACTTTTGGTCACCCTCTGGCGCCCTGTTGGCTCCACTTCGGAGGGGCTCGAGCAGGGCGCGACCTGGCCCAAGGGAGGCGTGTGTGTGTGTGTGTGTGTGTGTGTGTGTGTGTGTGTGCGTGAGTGTGTGCGTGTGTGTGTTTGCGTGGGGGGTGATGACTCGGGGGGGGGGGAAACCATGGGTGGGACCATGAGATCTTCCCATATTTCATGGCGCGTCTTCTTATTTCATCATGTCCCCAGCCCCCCCCCCCCCCTGGACCGCGCACATGCCGCCATGATCTGCGCCCCCCCTTCTTGGACGCCCCCGAAGTCCGTCCGATCGAAGCTTGGCTGGGAGCCGGCGCAAGACCCCCACCCCCCGCGGGAGGAACCGCCGCCAGGTCTGGGCCCGGACGACGGCCGTTCCCAGAGGGAGCGGTTGCGCCAGTTCGCATCATGAGCACCCATCCGCACGCACCCAAGACTCCAGGCCTCCCAGATTTGGGCCAGAGTGGATGGTGAAGGGGGATCGCGCCGTATCGCCGTTGCACCTGCGATGCGGCTCGGTGCGGATCCCAATTTTCTCCACGCGCGCGTCGGCGATGCACTGCCGACGTCGCCGATGCATCGTCGATGCATCGCCGATGCATCGTCGATGCATCGCCGCTGTGGCGCGATCCTCCGACCCCATCTTCTTGCACCCTATCTGGGATGTCTGTGAAGACGGTCCCTGATCTCGGACGCGCCGCAGAGTGAGGTTCGCACCGCGGAGCTTCCGAGCCTTGCACCGCAGAGCCCTCCCTTGCTGACCTCCCTCGCAGGTGCGAGTCCCGCTCGATTCATGTTTCCACTCTCGGGCGGGGCCACAAGACAGAGATGCACGAGGCGTTCCAGAAGGGTCCTTGCCCTCGAGGATTGAAGGAGTCACCCATGCCGCTACCCTTCCCTCGTCTTCCCCTTCTTGGGCCTCTTGGGAGGCCCTCGTCGCCAGTTCTGGATTCGCCTCGAGATTCTGGTCAGAACACACCCTGGGAGAGGTCCGGGGAGTAGGTATATCGTTTTGGTTTCGGTTTCCCCAGAGGGGTCCAATCCTGAACTCCACTCATTATATTCTCGTCAATGGAAGTTTCCTGGGACCCACCTAACGAATATGTTTGACTCTAGTTCGATGCTAGTTGGACGCGCGCTTGATTCAGGGTCGTCTCAAGCTCGACGGACCTTCGACGCAACATCGATGCATGAGTGGAGCGAGTGGCTCGAAGGAAAGCCCGCAGGTCGTGCATGTAACCCTCGAGCTCGAAGGCGGTTTTCTTCAGCATCGCTAGATCCACAGCCAAGGTGCTGACATGAGGAAGAATTCGGGCTCGGAGGGAGCTCGCTGTTCCCCAGATCCTACCGTGGTGGCTGTTCTAGCGCGCCGTGTGCACCTGGGCGTTTCTGGGGCCCAGATGGAGCTTCGTCCCCATTTCACGTTCCTTGTGGTAGCAGCATGACGGTTTCCACTCCCGCTGCGAAAGTCTTTTGCCCCGCTGTCCGGCCCACGCCCCTTGGCGATGTTGCTTGTCTTCTCTGGCTGGTTTCGCGGTATCCGTCCCCACCTAGGGTGTTGGTCCACTGGGGATGGGCATAGGTCTGACGGTATTGATTAGAGTCGGGTCTCATTTCGTATAGGTCGATCTGGCAGAATCATGGATGGGTATCTTTTGTGTCCCTTGTCTATAGCGTCTCGTGCTCTCTTCTTGAATGGAGTTAGACATGCCCTTTGGAGAGTCTTGTGTGATCTCGAGTGTCCTCTGCAACCATTCCCGGCTGTACTGCCTGCTGCTCCTCGTCGTGGTCCTCGTTGTTGGACAAGAGTCGGCTTCCAGACTCGTGCCTCGAGCTGCTCCGACCCGTGGCGACGTCGCCACCTTGCCCTCATCCGCGTCCCACAGCCCGCCTCCTCGCCCTGCCCTTCCCAGACCTCCCCTGCTGGGCCATTCTGGGGACCCAGGAGGTCTGCCACGTGTGCCGGAGCAGATGAGCCAGGTAAGAGGCGGGGTCGTCTTGGCCAGCATTGGCGTGCAAGGTCGTTCCAATGCTGGCGGCCCACGTGAGCTGCGGCCTGTTGTCGCCCTGCCATCTCGCGAGGGGCCCGCTTCTCCATGTTGCTCGTGCGAAAGTCCCAGATTTGCGCGACCATTGGCGAACCAGCAACACACACCCATACCCATAGGGGGATCGGAGAGGGCTATGGGTGCGTGTTGTCGGATGGGGGTCCCCGCTCCAACGGGAGCGCTCCCCAGGGTCCGACAACCCGCACCCATACCCATAGCCAGTCCTCCTCCCAACGACCTCCCTATGGGTATGGGTGTGTCTGTGTGTTGTTCGTTCGTCATCCATCGCCTCCTTGATCTTCCCGACGTCGCCCTGCCTCCTCGATCCCGCCCGCCCCCCCCCCCCGAGCCCACGCAAGGAGCGGCCCGCCGGAGACGGCGGCGCCCCCGCGGCCTTCGTGTGGAGGGGCGGCGAGGACAGCCGCCTTTGCGGGGGTGGGGGAGGGGGCGGGGGAGCGCATGAGTCTTAAGTCGGGCATGTCCCTGTGCAGGAGGAGTGTTCAAAAACAGTCCAAAAATAGTATGGGGACGATTTTTCGAGCACTTGTGATGCTTCTGGAATGCTTTGTGCCTATGGGTTTACCTCTCCCTTCCAAGATCCGCCTGTAGGGGGACATGCCCGACCCGGCACCAGTCGGGCTTGCCAGAGGTGGCCCCTGGCCTGTCGGGTGTCCCCCCCGGCCCTCCTCGCTCCTCCGGGGAGCCCCTGGGGGCCCTCCCGGGGGCCTCGCGGAGGGGGGATGCACGGGAGGCCGCGGGGGGCCTCCCTGGAAGCCCGGGGGGGAGCCCAGGGGCCAGGGTCACGTCGGGCCTGTCCCTCCACAGGAGGAATATCCAAAAACAGTTGACAGAATAGCCAGGGGACGTTTTTGTTGTTTCTGATATTGTTTCAATTTTGAAACATTTGTTGGAGTTTGTTTTTTGGGGGGGTCGGCCAAAATCCGCCTGTAGGGGGGCATGCCCGACCTAAGTCTGGGGGCACCCCAGCGCCCGAGCGAGTGGATCTGGAGGAACAGCGCGGCTGCCGGCAGGCTCCCGCGCGCCTGACACCCCGGGAGGGGCAGGCGGGGCAGGCAGTTTGAGGCCCATGCCAAGAGACACCTGGCATGTCTCCACTGTGCCCTGGGCTTCTCGGGTTTCGATGGTTTTGCTGTGGGAAGCGTGAGGCTCCCACATCAACCATCGATGGACGTTCCCAGGTCCTGGGGTCTCAGGATTGGATTTCTCGCGGAAGGTTTCTTGTGTGATCGAGCCGCTTCTGTAAGCAGTCAGGCCTGGACTTAGTGGGCCCTGGAAACGACAGGGGCGTTTTTTTTCCGTTTCCGTTTTGCCGTGTTTTTACCGGTTCCGACGCCGTTTTTTTACCGGTTCCGTCGCCGTTGTTTGGCCGGTTCAGGCTCCAGTTCCAATCCTGCAGCCGTTTTTTTTGCCGTTTCCGGTCGCCGTTTTTTTGCCGTGTCCATTTTCAAGGGGCATGTTTTTGGAAACGGTGAAAAAACGGCCCTGCCGTTTCCGGGGCCAGGAGAGGGCCTGGAGAGATGGTGTGCGCCCGTTCCTCGATCTCGCCCTGTTGTGGAGAGCGTTGTCGAGCTCCACCTCTGCTGCTGCGATGCCTGGGTCCGTTCGTCGGAGTAATTCAAGGGGAGGGGGAGCAGGGCACCCGCAGTGCAGTCATCGGGGGTCGTTTGGGGATCGCTCCGCTTCCATCCTCCCCATCTTCCCTCCTTCTCCGCCCTTTCCTCCCTCTCCTCCCCCCTCGATCCTCCCTCCTCCTCCTCCTCATCCTCCGCCTCCTCATTTTCCTCATCCTCCTCCTCCCTCCCCCCTCCTCTCCTGTTCGCGATTTGTGGTCCTGGAACAGCGCCATCATTATCGCCCATGTCGTTGATCTCGTGGACTCGGTGCTGGGGCTTACTGGGTACGCGCCCAGTGTCAACTGTGTATGTTGTTTGGTGCGGTTTTTGCTTTCGGCGAGGTGATTGTCCACGCTCCTGGGGTTCATGTGATCCTCATCCTTGTCATCACCATCCTCACTGGCTTTGGCGGCTCGGCAGTTGCCAGTTCAGAGGGCAGAAGCAGCGTTAGCCCATGTCTTCCCGTGGGCGCCACACGGGCAGGCTGCCGCGCTGCATACCACAGTATCCTGCCTCCGTCGGCCTGGATGTTTGTGCGACGTTTTCTGAAGCGTTCTATGTTTCGCAGCTTGTCTGCATCTTGAAAGACGATGTGGACGTCCCTAGCGTTGCTGGCACGAAGTTGCCTCCGAGCGTGCGCAAAGAGCGATCATGACCCGAGTGCCAGCCTTGGACGACACACGGTGTCGTGACAATTCATATACATGGTCTGGCCTTCGCAGAAAACAACTCGCACCACGTTTGCCGACTCTTAATATGTGTGGCGATATTTGGCTTCACCTGCTCATTCTGCCATCTTGACATATTGTTTGTTGTCATTGCACCCTCCGAGCCGGGTCCGAAAGCGGACTGGAACGGCGATGAGACGATCTAGCACTTGTTGGTCTACTCATGGCCACATATGGTTCGCTGTCCTGCCGCACGTGCTGATGACCATTGGGCGTACCAGCCTATTCGCTGATGTTCGTACGGCTCGCTTCCTATTCACCGTTTTTTTCCCAACACGGTGCTGATCCTCCATTGGTTACTCTCCAGATTGTGAGACGCGCCGGCAGCATTTCTTTTCTGATGGCTGTTTTTCCGAGCCAGGGTCGCATTGACCCGGGTTGGGGTGCAGCATCCTGCAGGATCTTGCAGGATCCTTCGCATTGACCGGGGTTTGGGTGCAGGATCTTGCAGGATTCTGCAAGGCCTGATTGACCCGGCTCTGGATTGACCCGGATCAGTGAGTCCCCGATTTCTGCTCCTCTCTCCAGGCCGACCGCTCGTTTCTAGCGCCTCGCGCCGTCCGCCGCCCACTCGGCTCTATTCGTTAAGCTGCCCGGGGCGCAGGGCTCGGCATCCCTTCGTTGGGGAGGGTGGCGGTGGCTGCTAGTGTACCCCCCTTGGTTCTCGGGGTGCGAGCCTTCAGCATGACGGCGCGCAGACTGTTGCAATGCCGAGTCCGATTGACCCGCCTCCTCCTCCTCCTCCTCTTCCTCCTCCTCCTCCTCCTCCTCCTCCCTTCATGAGGGTTAGGAGGCTGCCAGACTGCCAGACTGTATTGGAGGGGGGAAGGCCATCCTTGAAAGTCTGCCTGATGAGCTCCTGGAAGATCGACGTCTGAGAATCGTGGTCCAGCGACGCTTTTTGGATGCATGTGTTATGAAAGTCCCAGCTCGCCGTGGTCAGCTCCGCCCCGATAATGCTGGTGATGATGGTGCCGATGATGAGGACGGTGGTGGTGGTGGTGATGATGGTGGTGGTGAGGACGAGTTCATCCATTCTCGCCCCCTTCCTCATTGTCCTCCCTCGTCCCACGCGGAGCTCCCAGGCCCCCCTCTGCCTAGCTCAACACCGGGGTCGCGGAGACTGTCGCGGCCTTGGCCAGAGAGCCGTCCTTCTCCAAGGTGTCCTCGCGAGGGCGCGAATCTCACCACGCGAAGCGCATCGCGGGGCGCGATGCGTGAAGCTAGTCGACCCTTTTCTGCCCTCCCGCCCCCCTCCTCGTCCTCCCTCTCCTCCCTGGGGAGCTCCCGGACCCATCCCCGCCCTCCTCCTCTTTTCGCCCCTCTTCCTCCCTCCTCGGCCCTGCTCCTCCTCCTCTGCCCTCCTCCTCGTCGCCCCTCCTCGCCCAGTCCTCGACCCTCCTCGCCCCTCCTCGTCGTCCCTCTGCCCCCCGCGCCCCCGAGCGCCGCCAGGAGGCCGCCTCGGCCGTGCGGGTGGCGCTCGCCGAGTCCCAGCGGGCAGCGGAGCGTCCCCCGCCCGCCACACCTCTCCGCGCCCGCGCCGCTCGGCGCTCCCGCGGGCCCGAGGAGGGCGGAGGTCGACGAACAAGCCACGGCGTGGACATGCGATCGTTTTCTGATTCCTTGGCTTGCCGATCTCTCTTGGGTCGCTGCTGCCTGCCGCCTGACCGCGGCCCTGCGCGCGCCCGCCTCCCTTGTCGCGGCCGCAGCCTGACCGTGACCGCCTGCCGCTGGCGCTTCCGCCTGCGGCTGTTATAAGAAAATAATAATAATAATAATAATCAGAATAAACGATTGCCGATCTCGACGCGGGCCCTTGCACCCCCCCCATGGAGTAGGTCTTGGTTGTGTGTAGAGCGCCTGTTTCGAGCAGGCGGGGTCCTCCCCTCAAAGGACGCACTGCTGCAAACGGCCGCGTGAAGCAGAGGTCTGGAGCCAGACCCCCCCTCATCCCCTCCCGTCCGCCCGATGTCGAGGCGCCGAATAAGAAAAAACGCTCACCATGACCTCCTCGGAGGCCCGTGCGGAGTTCTGGGATCGGCGCTGGGCGGTGTGTTTCCGGCGGGCGCGGAGGCACCCCACGCGAGCAGTTCATCGCGCCGCTGGGGCGACGAACAAAAATCGGGACCGCTTTCTTCGATATTCGCGCCGCGCGTGAGCTGCCCGCGTAAGGTCGCGCGCAAGCGGCCTCGCTTCCAATGAGGCGTGCCGCGCTGGGGGCGCACTGGAGCTGCGGCGCAAGGTCGCTGCGTCTTTTCGCGTAAGACCCGTTTTTGATCCTCGTCCTCTTGCCACTTGCGTTAAGTCGGGCATGTCCCCCACTACAGCAGGAATGTTCAAGAGCATTGCAAACATAGTCTGGTTACGATTGTTGAGTATTTTCAACTCGTTTTTACTATTATTATACTCCCTATAGGAGGATATGCCCGACCTAAGACTTGCACCACCGCGTGGGCAAAGGGCCCACAGGCGCCGCCCCTGGCGCGCTCCACGCGCCCGGGAGGGGAGCCCAAGTGTCCATTCAAGAAACCCGCAGGGACCTCATCAAAATACAGTTTATGCTGTCATTGTTCCTCCAGAAGGGGCGGAATGTGATAACTAGGCGATTTCTCGCTCCGAATCGCATCGGCACTCGTGCGTCCTTGGTCGGATACCGGCAGAATGCTGCTCAACCCCGTCCGATCCCGCCGAGTCCCGCCCAGATCTGGTCTTTTCTAGCTGACTCCTGGGCTCAAGCTGGGCTCATCTTGCGCACTGGCCCCTTGAGGATGCTTACGGGACCTCCGAGAATCTGTCTCCCTGCACGGGCTCAAGGGAGGACGGAGCGGAGGAGGAGGGTCGCTCTGGAGGATTTGGCGTCTTGGGCGGAACGGGTCAGCGGAGTACAAAGTGTTGTTTCAGTTATTCGTTGCTTTTCGGGCTCGAGGTTGCCGATTGGTTTCGCTGCTTCTCGGCGGTTGCCCAACCCACGGACGCGTTCCGGCAACAGCGCGCCTCTCTCGGAGCGTTCCGGAGGTGCCCAGCTGGTTTTGAGCGGCTTCTGGAGACCCGATGTATGATCTAAAAGTAGCGGGCGGAGAACAGTATAACATACATTTTTTCGCTGTCGGGGGCGCCTGCCCCAGGGCGGCTGGAAAGTCTATACCCTTGCGGTGGCACGTCAAGGCATCGATTTTCCAGCCGCCCTGGGGCAGCGCCCCCCGCGACGGAAGAGCTTATGGTATACCGTTATTCGCCCGCTAAGAGTCGGAGGTTGATAGACCTCCTACCCTGACACGTCGATTAGCGAATTGGCCGTTTTCGGTTCAAGAGAGGGCGTCGTGGCCGTCATTTTTGCGGGTCCAGGTCCGTCGGTTTCGGTCCCAGGCCGTTTTCGCGAAAGGGAGGTGTACTGAAGGGAGGTTTGTCCACCGCGGATAAGAGAACCAGGTGGCCCATGGAGGAGGCGGGTCCTGAGCGAGGCGACTCCTGTGAGCGAGGCGGCTCTTGGTATGTCTCACCGTTCTTGGGGGGCCTCCTCGTGCCCTCCGCGGGCCCCTGGGACCGTCAGACAACGATTCGGGACCAGAAGCGCAGGGCCTCAGGGCTCCGCCGAGCGCGTTCCACTACTCGCAAAGTGCCTGCTCGCAGCCGTTCGAAGCACAGAACACAAGTCTGCCCCGATGTGGGGCATCGCAGATCCCCCATGGCGGATCCAGGTCATTTGCGAGTAGGCTGTTTGCGAGTCGTGGAACGCGTTGGTTTCATGTTGGGGCCCCGTTTCCTTCAGGACCCGTTCCTGGCATGGCAAGCGGAGAGAGGAGGACGTGCTGCTGCTCCTCCTCCTCCTCCTCCTCCTCCTGGTCCTGCTCTTCCTCCTCGATTCTGGATTGCCCTCTTGGGAGAAGGCCGTGAGCTGCAATCCGTGTGGTGCGAGCTGTGTGTGGGGGGGGGGCAAACTCTGCGGTGCGAGCTCTGCAGTTTGCGTAAGCTCTGCGGTGTAACATCCTTGGCGCAAGCTCTGGACGTTTGGTGCAGTCTGTGCTGCCGCTCGGCGCACGGAGCCGCCCACGGACGGGCGGGGCAGGCCAGCGCCTTTGCAGGCAGGGCTCCCGGCCAGGCACCCCCGCAGCGAGCTGCTTGAGCTCGCAGCGTGTCCCGAGAAGCGTCGTCCTGCTCGTTCCCTTCGGTATCGCTTCACCGATCCTCGAAGAAGAGCAAGCGCACATAGACATAAACTTCGGCGCTCCGCGCGGATTTCTGGGGTCCGGGATGGGGTCCCTGGCGGCGTTTCCGGCGCCGCCCCTGGCGCGCTCCGCGCGTCAGGGAGGGGGGTCCAGCGTGGGTCCAGGAGCTCTGCGCGGAGCGCCAAAAGATAATGTGTATGTGTTTGTTCCTTCTTCTAGTCTTCCTGCTCGTTCCCGTCGGTATCGTTCAGCCGATCCCCATCAGCATCCCCGTCCCCATCCAGCCCCCCAGCATCCCTGCACCCCAGCTGGGGGCGCACACGCCTCGAAGCCCGAAGGGAACGGCCTGCATCCCCATTTGCGGGGTCCATCGGCCATCTGGGGCCCAAGCCACGTCCGCGGGGACGGGGATCGGTTCAGCGATGCCCATCCCAAGACGCTGTCGGAAGCCTCTCCGCAGGCCCTTCGCAGCTCCGGCGGGGGTGGAGGAGGAGGGGGGAGGGGGAGGAGGGAGGAGGAGGAGGAGGAGGAGGAGGAGGAGGAGGAGGAGGAGGAGGAGGAGGAGGAGGAGGAGGAGGAGGAAGAGGAGAAGTCCAGAGGCCTTCTTGGGACAGCCTGTGGCTCTCCTGAGGGGGAGTCTCTCGGAGCTCCCTCGAAGCCTGCTCCCCGGAGCCTGCGGGCTCCCCGCCGCGCGCAGCGCGCGAGGCGCCCTCGGGGCGGCCGCGGGCGGTCGCCCTGGCGGCGCCCCGGGGAAACCCCGGCCGAAGAGCGCACGAGGCGCGCGCCCCCCGCGAGGCGCATGCCCGCCCGAAGAGAGCGGGAAGCCTCGGCCCGCCCGCCCAGAAGAGCGCACGAGGCGCCCGCGGGGGCGCCCACCAAACGGGCGCCATCGGAAACCTCGGCGAGACTCTGGAGAAGCCCGCCGCAGGCGCCAAAGTTTCACACACTATGCAACGAGCCCGCCGCAGCCGCGCCGATTTTTTCTTCAAGCCAATGTGGATCGGTCGCGGGTGGGTCGCGGGGCGGGTTGCGAGCGGGTTGCGGGCGGGTCGCAAGTGGGTCGCGGGGTGGGTCGCGGGGTGGGTCGCGGGGTGGGTCGCGTCGCGGGTGGGTCGCGGGTGGCCCACAGCCGACAACCTCGGATTCACGTCAATCCGACGTGCTGCCCCCGGGGGGCGACGCGAGCACCGAGAGATCCTCCTGCGTGTCAGAGTGAGGGGGCCCGAACGGTCATTCGCTGTCCCTGGGTGCGTGGCAGAACAGGGCATCCACGGCGAGGAGTATTGTTGTTTACTGGTTGTTTTGATGCGTTGTCCCCCCCCTCCTCCGCTCCGCGACCCGCCCGCGACCTGCCCGCGACCCACCCCGCGACCCTTCCCGCCACCCACCCCGCGACCCACCCGCGCGACCCACCCGCGACGCACCCGCGACCCACCCGCGACCCACCCCACGCGACCCACCCACGACACACGCGACCCACACCGCGCCCGCCCCCCTCACTCTTCTCCGCTATGCGGGGTGCCACGGATATATCAGAGTGAGGGGCCCGAACGGTCATTCACTGTCCCTGGGTGCGCGGCAGAAGAGGCTATCCACGGCGAGGAGTACTGTTGTTTTCTTGTTGTCTTGTTGCGTCGTCCCCCCCTTCGCTCCGCGACCCGCCCGCGACCCACCCGCGACCCACCTCGCGACCCACCCCGCGACCCACCCCGCGACCCACCCGCGCGACCCACCCGCGACCCACCCGCGACCCACCCCACGACCCACCCACGACCCACCCCGCGCCCGCCCTCTTATTCTTATCCGCAATTGCGGGGTGCTACGGTATATCTATCTATATATATATATAAATAGTATGGACAGGTATGTGTGTATATACGTATATATATATATATATATATATATATATCGATTGCGAAGGCCTTACGGCCGGTGCCGCCGACCCTGAATGGCGACGACGACGACGACGACGAGCGCTCTTGGGGGCCTCTTGGGGGTAGTTTGTGGGCCTCTTGGGAAGCTCTTAGGGGCCGCTTGGAAGCCTCGTGGGGGCCTCTTGGGGCTTCCTGGGGGTCTCTTGGAGGGGGCCTGGGACGTCTTGGAGGCTTCTTGGACGGTCTTGGGGCTATCTTGGGCGTTTTCGGCCGATCTTTGGGCGACTCGGGGCCCTCTTGGGCCGTCTCGGGGGCCATCTTGGGCATTCGGACCTCATTTGGAGTGTTTTCGAGGTTTCTAGGCCGCCCGAGGAAAAACGAATCTGCCCCCCCACCCCCCCCCACCCCCCCCGGGACCCCCCACCCCCCCCCGGGACCCCCCCCCCACCCCGGGACCCCCCCCCCCTGGGGAAGGGATCAAAGGGAAGGGGCTTCCCTTCGACTCGATTACGACACTGCTAGATTTTTCTCTCGCTCACGAGCTTGAGAAGGAAGCTGCAGGGAAAGGGGACGACGGAGGCGACGACCGAAGGAGACGACGACTCGAACAGCCAAGCCCCTCGCACACGCCGACAGGGTCGGCGGATTTATCTAGCTATCTCTGTAAAAGTATATATATATATATATATATATATATATATACAGATATACATGCGTCGTGGCGGGCGCTGTCTGGCCACACCGCTCGGGAAACGAATACGTAGCACCCCGCAGATGCGGATGAGAGTGAGGGGGCGGTGGGGACGTCGACAGCCTGCGAGATTCTGGAGAAGCCCGCCGCAGGCGCCAAAGTTTCACACATTATGCAACGAGCCCGCCGCAGGCGCCGATTCTTTCTTCAAGCCAATGTGGATCGGTCGCGGGTGGGTCGCGGGGCGGGTTGCGGGCGGGTTGCAGGCGGGTCGCAAGTGGGTCGCGGGGTGGGTCGCGGGGTGGGTCGCGGGGTGGGTTGCGGGGTGGGTCGTGGGGTGGGTCGCGTCGCGGGTGGGTCGCGGGTCGGTCGCGGGTGGGTCGCGGGGTGGGTCGCGGGGTGGGTCGCGGGGTGGGTCGCGGGCGGGTCGCGGGGTGGGTCGCTGGGTGGGTCGCGGGGTGGGTCGCGGGGTGGGTCGCGGGTGGGTCGCGGGGGGGATGACGACAACAAACACCAGCAGCAGCAACAACAACACCAACGCAACAAGCATAATCCTCACCATGTATTCTCACTTCAGCCATGCACCCAAGAACAATGAATGACCGTTCGGCCCCCTCACTCATGATATATAGATATATATAGCACAAAATTGGTATACTTCATTTTCGGGTCGGGCGCGCGCCTCCAAGGAGGACATCGTGCTAATATGTTTCTGTGCGTCCCATCAGGGTGCACGCAAGCATTGCTTGGGAAAACATATCTCGGAGTTCCGCGCGGATTCCCCTGGTCGGCGCTGGCCCTTCCCCCCCCCCCACCCCCTCCCCTTGCCCAGCAGGGCGCGCTTCTCTACAGATGCTGGGCCGGGCTGGCGCCTCCCGAGAAGCAGCCTGCTTCTAAGAAGCCTTCCCCCCTCCCCATTGCCCCCCTGCGCGCCCAAATCCCCATCCGAACTGATCTCCGCGCTGCCGCGATCTCAGCTGGGTTCGACGCCGCGTCGACGCGGCGCGAGCCCGGCCGCACGAGGCTCGGGGCGCAGCTCCTGGGCGGCAGAAGGCAGCTTCGGCGCTGGCAAATCCCAGCTCGAGAACGGGCCCAAGCCAGCACACTCGGGGTAGACGCCTCGCGGGGGCTGTTCGGAGGCACTCCTGTCGAGGATGGGCGCCTGGCCATCCTTCGTGGCATCTGGTCTGCTCCGCAGTCTCGCAGAGAGTCGGTGGACCGGGGTTCACCATGCCCCTGATCTGGGGAGGGCCCGGGAAGGTCTGGTGGGCTCTTGCACGCTCCAGAAGGAGCCTGCGGGGAGGATGACTGCGTGCCTTCACCGAGGTCTTGGGACAGCTTCTCCTCCTCCTCCTCCTCCTCCTCCTCCTCCTCCTCCTCCTCCTCCTCCTCCTCGGTGGGGAAGGGGTGGAGGGGCGCGGGAGGCCAGAACCCCGAGGGGTGAGGAGGGGGTGATCAGCCACGCGCCGAGGGAGGTACAGTCGAGGTTGACTGGTAGTTTGTAAAGTCGGGCGTGTCATTCAACAGGAGGAATATTCAAACATAGTCAAACAAATGGTCTGGGGACGTTTTTCTGTGTGACTAGTTTCGAGTATGTTGGAGTATGTTTTGACAATTGTTCCCCTTGCCCGAAATCCGCCTGCAGGGGGACACGCCCGACCAAATGGTAGGTCGACCCTGGTGTCCTTTATTACGCGACCCATGCCTTCTGCATTTCTAGGGGGGTGTGGCGCTCGGAAGGGTCTTGTGTCCTCTCGCGTGTCCTCTCCAATCTGCCCCGACTGCAGGGGGAGGGGGGACGGCTTCTTAGAAGCACCCCTGGTCCTGAGAAGGCGCTGGCCTTGTCTTTCGATGCATGGCCGGGCGCCTTCTGAGGGGCAGCCTCCTGCTCATCATCCTTCCCCCCGTCCCCCTACCCCCCTGGTGCGCGCCGCCAACTGGGGGTGGGAGGAGGTGCTCGTCGAGCTCGGAGGCAGGACTCGCGAGCGAGGCCCTGCGCCGCAGAGCTCGAGGAAGACACAGAGGCACGTTTTACCCGTCGGAGAAGCCCAGCGGCGGAGAGCAGCAGTCGAGGAGGGGAGGGGGGGGAGGGGAGGGGGGCCGGGGCGGCACGCGGCCCATGCGCAGGCCGCCTGAATTACGAAGTAGTCCGAGGAAGACACAGAGGCACGCACGTGTGACCCTTCGGAGCTCCGCGCGGACATCTCGGATCGGCGCTCGGCCCCCGCTGGCAGCACCTCCGGCGACGCTCCTCGCCGGCTCCGCGCGCGGGGGGGGGGGCAGCGCCTCTCCAAGAAGTCTGCGCGGAGCTTCAGGCATGCAGCTAAGAAGACGACACATATTATTGATCTGGGGAGGAGGAAGGAGGAGGATGAGGAGGAGGAGGAGGAGGAGGAGGAGGAGGAGGAATGTGATTAGGTATGTGTTCCCTGCTTTGCCGAGGACCTCTGTCTGGACCCGGACGCTGTCACCTTCACACAGGCAGGCGCGGCGACTGCGTGGCCCATCGATTTCGCAAGTGTCTCGATCGTGTTGACGTTCGCTGTGATGGCCCTTGCGTGTGTCATATTGATGTCGATGTTGGTCGCCGGCGTTGCAGCATAGCGTGTGTGGTCGGCTGTAACTCTGGGGAGAAGTGGCCCCATTTCACGGAGCACGGGAAATACTGAAGAATTACGTTTATCACGGATTCTTGTTTCCGGATTTGCACGGATTTCTGTTTCCCCCTTGGTGACAAGAAAGATGCGGGAGTCACGCAAGCTGCGTGCAATTGCTTCCCGGAGCGGGCCCGCCTGATGATTAGTGGTTTCCCACCACGTGCAGGGCCCGTCTGCCAATTTCTTGCGTGCATCGCTCGGTGCACTCCGCCGGCCCGTGTCGTGTCGCCGTTGGCGTCTGCCCGTGCGTTCGTGGGCCGTGCGGCGCTGCTGGTCGGCGAGGCTGGGGGGTGAGCAGGATCGAGTTTCTAGAGCCCCCGCGGGGGCGCGAAGGCAGTGGCGCTTCGCGCGTCGCAGCTTGGGCCAGAGCGGCCGCCCTTCTCGCGGGGGCAGCCGGCGCCTCGCGCCTCGCGGGGTGCCCTGCGCAAGCTTCGGCAACCCAAAGTAGCCCCTGGCCCCCCCCCCCTTCTGAGCAGCCACCGACCGTCCGGGTATCCCTATAGGCCTCCCTCTCTCGAATTGGCTTCAAAAGGGAAGGATGCTCGAACGACAAATGCGGAGTCCCTCACATGTGAAGCCGATGGATGAACCCAACGTCGTCTCAGCTAGACATGTTCTAAGACCATCCGGTGCAAGCCGCACACAAGTGGTCAGACCCTGCTCTGGAGGCCCTATAGGCAGGTTGGCAGGACGCTTGGCCACTGCTTGACAGTCTTACTCATGTTGCCACAACGTGGCTTCCCAGATCTCCCGACACCCTTCGTGGGACCAGCTTTATGATGCTCCAACCTGCTTTAGCCCTGTTCACTAGAAATGATTTCGAGCACCAGGAACGCACCGAACGCGAGGACTTTCACGTGTCGGCCCCTGGGAGGCGATACTCGTTCGACACTGCTTCGTTATTTTTCTGGGTGCTCGGAATTATGATTGACGCTTCGCGTATCCCCACCAGACCTTTCCTCTTGTCGCCTGTTTCCCTCCCCCCGGTGCGCAATTCGCACAGGGGGTGGGTATTTACCGACTGGCTGTCTTGCTCGTTCATCCCTCTCACATGAGGGGGGGGGGGGCGGCAAACGGTCGGGGGGGGAGCGGGGGCTGCTGGAGAGGCGGGCGCCCTGCTGGGCCCAGAAGGGGGCTCTTGGGGCTCGAAGAGGGCACCTTTTTGCCCCCGCATTTGCAGTGGAGACCCATGCCAAGGCACACCATGCTTGCCTCCAGGATGCCCCGGGCGTTTTGGATTTCGATGGTTGTGCGAGGGGAGGCGCGACGTTCCCACACCAAACATCGATGGACGTCCTAGGGACTCACGCTTGGGTTTCTTGTTGAAAGGGATCTTGCTGTCCAGCTCCTACTGTCAGGAGGGGAAAAAACACACAGACACAATTAATCGTCCACTCCCAGGAAAATATGGCAAAATATGGGAAAATATGGAAGGTGGGGGGGAAGACAAACATTCAACAAATATGGGAAATATGGGGAAGCATTCTATTTGTGTGTATTTATTTGTGTGTCCTGGGGCCCCTTCATACTGCATCGCCCCCCCCTGTCAGCTCCCGCCCCCCTCGCCTCCTCAAAGCGGGTGGCCACCGCCCGCGGCAGGCGGTGGCCCCCGCCCGCCGCCAACGGGGGGCGCATTTTTCTCCCTCAGGTCTCCGAGCTCGTCGGCGCCGGCAGGGCCCTGCCGGGCATAGAGGACGTGGACGACAAGGCGGCGGCGCGGCCGGCGCCGCGAGAGAGGAAACGCTTCGGGAGCGGAGCCGGAAACGCACCACCACCACCTCAGCCTCGGGAGAGTAAGGATGAGCTGGTGTGCGGAATGCAGAAGTGCACGCCCTTGTCCCGTCCTCCTGGTGGTGGTGGTGGTGGTGGTGGTGGTGGTGGTGGTGGTGGTGGTGGTGGTGGCGGTGCGTTTCATTTTCGTACACATTGGGAGGGGTGTTCAGAGGAGACAGGGTGGGCGAACAACGACAGGACGCGGTCGGTGTTTGCTGCGTTGGCGCGCCAGCGACGATGGAGGAGGCGCTCTCCGGCTACAGTCTGCATGATAGAGCGGCCTGGAACCAAGGAGACGCTTTGCAACGCAACAGGACCAGACGGGATGCAACTTCGAACGATCCAGGCCGCGATCGGTTCAAGGCGTAACGATCGCTGTGTGGTCAATTTGTTTTGGCGCGCGCCGCCGACGCGCGAACCTCCTGTAAGTTGCTTTGCGATCAAGGGCGCCCGTCCCAGGACGGTTGGCACGTTGATGCCCCCGGCTGCCACCGTGCTGGCGGAAGCTGACCAGACCCCCTGGGAGGAGCGTCCCCGATTGCCACAGAGTTGCCCGTGTACCGTTCCCGCTGTCGGTGCTGCCGCGGGCGACAGCCATGTGGGGCAGAAGGTCGCCCGCCCAGCGGATGCCGCTGACGGCTCTGGCCGACGTTTTTGCTGCGTGGGTCACGGGGCCAAGTTTGGTCCGAACCCCACTTCGGGCGTGCCAGTTTCTGTCCTTCAGCTCCCGAGTTCCCCTCCGAAGTCCCGAGTTCGGTCTGAACCCCGTCTCGGGCGTGCCAGTTCCACCCCCCCGAAGTCCCGAGTTCACGACCCCAAAGTTGGCAGCTCAGAGCAGACCTGAACCTCGGGGATACACCCCCACTGGGGCTATATACTCGCGCGCATCTCTATCGCATCGAGGGCTTGGCGCCTCCTCCTCGTGCACCTTCGATTTCAGCAGGCATTGCTTTGTGTCCCGTCGGGATTCTACGGAGTCGGAGGCTGGGGTCGCCAAGCCTGCCTCCCGTCGAGGGCTGCGCGTGCGCGGGGGTCGTCGACGACGGCACACGTCCATGCCGCCCACGCGGGGTCGGCGCAGACAGGGTCGGAGGGTGCCGACGCATCGCCGGTGCCCATCGATAACAAGAAGAACTCGAGCCCTAAGAACACATTGAAGACGTGGCCTCGCTCAAGTACTCCAGATTTCGTAATAAAGGGAGGGGGGTCTCATTTCGGGGGGGGGTCTCTTCCAGGCTATCTTGGAGGGCCTGAGGGGGTCTGGGGACGATGTTTTGGAGGGTTTTCCCACGGGGGGGGGGTCTGAAATGGCTTGTCTTGGAGGGTCCAGACCCCCTCCCTTTTATTACGAAATCTGGAGTATCCGTTTTTGCATCCGGAATGCTGATTCTGGGCGGTTCGGTGCGACGCATCTGCAGAAGAGACCCCCTTTACCCCTAAGGTGTTTGGTCCGCTCAGCTGAGGCTCCCTCCCGCAGGGCCAGGGGTCCTCTTGTTGCTAACCATATGTGTCGGAGATGCGGCGCGATGTGGAGCACGACTTTCTCTTCCCCGACGGCGCCGACGTCGCCGATGTGTCCGTGGTGCGGCGCAATTCTCGGGCCCCATCCTCTCGGGCCCCGAAATTCTCGGCAGTCTCGGAGCACGCCGGCGCGCTCCGCGCGCCTGGGGCAGGCTGGGCCGAGGGGGGCTTCAACGGTGTATGTTCGTGGTGCGTCTGTGTTGGTTGGTTCGGTTCATTCGGTCGGGGACTGGTTTTGCGATGTTTCTGACTGGGAGGGTGTGCGTACATATATACGTGCGTTTGTTACCTTGGACCCCTGTGGGCCAGTCTGTCCGCGGTCTCTTCTCAAGGTCTCTGCAAGCAAGTCTGAAAGGGCATGCTTGCTCCAGAGCTAATGGAGTCCAGATTGCAAGTCACTGCATCTCCCATTCCGCGCAAACCGCCGGAAGTCCTTGCCTCGGATGTTGATGCTTTGCGCAGGAGTCCACCCATGGGAGTCTGTGAGGTGTGTTCTCTGGAAGTTCCGCGCCTTCTGGCAGGGATCGATGGGGCTTTGTTGTTTCCCTGGTCGTCCGCTGAGGCCCTCGACAATGACAGTTTCTGGAGAAAATGGGACTTGCAAGTTGCGGTGCGCGGTGGCGCTGAGTCTCACGGAGCGTACGCTTCCCTCTTTTGGTTGCGCCTCCGGTTCTGCCACGAGTGGCCCGCCAAGCCGCCCGCGGTGCGCTTCCTGTCCGTCATCCACCACCGGCTCGTAGAGGACGGCGAGATGCAAGAGCCGTTCTTTACACATTTGAAGCAGAGCGCTTGGGATGCATCCTCTCGGCGTTACAGACTTCACGACCTCCTGACCGCCGTGCGCCTGTCGCTCACGGATCCGCACGCGGTGTGCCCAGAGGAGGAGGCAGTGGCTCTGCCAGTGCCGCACGGCACACCAGAGTATCAAGGTACCGTCGCACACCCAGCGTTAGGACCAGACCACAAGGAGTTCAAGATGCAAACGCACGCTCAACGGATGCCAAAGGAATTCCAAGGGAGATGGGAGGCGCTGGGGCAACGCGGAGCAGCGACTATATTCGTCGACCATTCTTCCAGACACGTAGCCATTTTTGCGCAGTCGCCCCTCGGCGACGTGGAATTGAACGGCGAGGTCGACGAGGATAATGGTACACTGTTTGGCGACGTCATCTTCAGCGGATCGCGCGAGGGTTCTTTCAGTTTGGTGCCAGTCCCAGAGGAGCAGCGTGACCTCGGGGACGAATCTACCAACACGAAGCGCTTGGCAATCATCCGCAAATTCACTTCGATGGCTAGACACCCAGAGCTGTTCGCAGAGAAACCCAACTGGACTTGCAACGAGTGGCTTAACCCTGGCTTTTCTAAAGCACTTGCAGCTGGTACAGCGGATGCATGGCGTGATTTGCTTATGACACACTCGCCAGGTGAAGTTTATTCGTTTCCGTTCTTTACTGCTGGATTTTGCGAGGTGTTGTTGCAGGAGGTGATGAATTTCTATGACAGCGGACTCCCCGCACGTAGGCCTAACAGTATGAACAACTATGGTATCATCCTTGCCGAAATTGGTCTTGAACCTTGGGTCCGCAGTTTGCAAGACCTCGTAAGACCGTTGGGAGAATTGTTGTGGCCAGGTCCTGGGTCTGGCTGGGATGGGCATCATTGCTTTATCGTCCGGTATCGCGAGGGAGAGGATCTTGGACTCGACATGCATGTGGATGACTCCGAGGTAACGTTTAATGTTTGCTTGGGGTTGACATTCGAAGGCGCAGGATTGCAATTTTGCGGCATCAGCGGAACATCATCTCATCGGAAGGAGCGGCTGAAGTATTCCCACGTGCGGGGTCGTTGTGTCGTCCACTTGGGCAAACACCGTCACGGTGCAGACGATATCGTGTCTGGTGAGCGGTTGAATTTAATATTGTGGAATCATTCGAGCGAGTTCCGGAAAAGCAATGAGTACCGAAGTCCAAGGTATGATGTGGAGGGTTCCCCCCCTGACCTCGAGTGCCTGAGCTACACGCACGATCGCGATTTTGGAAGATTTCGCCCTTATCCACCAGGAAAGGCAAATCTGGCCGCTGCCGCTTGGTGCCCACCACGGCATGCTGAGTACGCTGGTTTCGAAAACGACTTGGGTTGAGGCCTCGTACCACGGGTGAGCGAAGGTTTATGATGTCGAGAAGCTAGCGCGCATTGGGGTTGCGCTGAGTCTTGGCATAGTTGTTGCGCAGAATTCCCTCAGGAGGGAAAACGAAGTCTGCGAGTGCAAGCGCTCTGTTTTCATTCCTGATTTGGGTAACCATCGAGAGCACATGCCTTACGGTGTGTATGACCACTGCGGGTTAGGCAGCCGTGATTGCAGCCCGAAGCATTTAGAAGGATGAATGGAACACGCCGCATTCCCGTTGATCCTCCTTCTCAGTATTCTCTCTTCTCTGAGCGCGCTGCGGTACGATGTCAAAGACGGAGGAGGAGAAGCAGATGATTCGATTCGTTCCGGTTTGTTTTCAGAATTTGTCGGAGGGTGCAGCCTGTGCAGCGTGCGTTGTAGGCTGTGAGCGGACGAAGGAATGATGGGGACGAGAGAGGATGAGGGAAGCCAGGTGTGTGGAAGACAGAGGAGGAGGAGGAGGAGGAGGAGGAGGAGGAGGAGGAGGAGGAGGAGGAGGAGGAAGAAGGAGGAGGAGGGAAGATGAGGAGTAGTTGGAGGAGGAGGAGGAGGAGGAGAGCAGGGAGAGGAGGAGGAGGAGGAGGAGGAAGGTGGAGGAGGAGGAGGACGAGGGAAGAGGAGGAGGAAGAGGAGGAGGAGGAGGAGGAGGAGGAGGAGGAGGAGTCTATCGAATGGCTGACCGGCTTGCTCCTGCACCCGCATCCCCCCCCCCTCCGACTCCTGTGGGGGCCCTCATCGTGCCTACCTGCGCTCGCCCCCTCGCTCGAGAGGGGCGTGGCGGGGGGGGGGCCAGAGCGCCGCGGGGCGGGGCGCGCTCCGGGCGCGGGGCGCGGCACGCGGCGGCTCGAGGCGGCCAGCGGGGGGCCGCCAGGAGAACAGACCCCCTCTTCTCAATACTCACCCTCCTCCTCCTCCTCCTCCTCCTCCTCCTCCTCCTACTACTCTCCTCCTCCTCCTCTCCTCCTCCTTCCTCCTCCTCCTCCTCTTCTCCCCCTCCTCCTACCTCCTCCTCCTACTCCTCTTCCTCTACTCCTCCTCCTCCTCCTCCTCACCTCCTCTCTCCTCCTCCTCCTCCTACTGCTCCTCCTGCTCCTCCTCCTCCTCCTCCTCCTCGTCTCCTCCTCCCTCCTCTCCCCTCATCGTCGTCGCCGTCGACGTCGACGTCGACGTCGATGTCGATGACGACGACGACGAGGCGGTGTCGGGAGGTCCCTCGAGCTATCGCTGAGGATGCAGCGTTGAGGAGTTTCAATTCGACGTCGGGCGGGGCAGGTATAGCGCCGTGGTTGAAATCCGTCGCGATCTCGTGACGACGCTGCTCATTCCCCGTCAGTATTGGTCAAGATCGAGCTTCATCTTGGCTGCGTCGGTTCAATGTCCCCCGCAGCAGGGCTTCACTCGCCCTCCTCGTCCTCCTCCACCATTTACTTCCTCCACGTTCGTCCTTCATGTCCTCTACAGTGCCGTTTTTTATACATGCTCCGCGTGCGGATCATGTATTAAACATGCAGGGATTCAGTATTAAATTCAACGATGAGCTCATGCATAAATTCATTCATACATTAATCATGTATAAAAAACTCCCATATGTTTAAACATCCTATGTATAAAAAAAACTGCCCTGTACCTCCCTCCTTTCTATTCGGCACGCTACGAGGCGCCAGCGCCTGAAACGTCAGTGGACGGCGGCCGCGGCCGCCGACGGACAAGACAGAGCCCCCTCGAAACCAGTGGCGAGAGAACGTGCAGGAAGTCGGAGCGAGCACGTGGTGGCAATCAGTCACGCGCAGAGGGGGGTGGGGGGAGGGGGTGGGACTTCTTAGAAGCACCCCTGCTTCTTAGAAGGCGCGGGCCTTACCTACAGATGTAAGAATGGCGCCTTCTAAGAAGCAGCCTCCTTCTAAGAAGCCCTCCCCCCTCCCTCCACCCCCTTGTGCGCGCCGCCAAAGCAAACACGAATGCCGCCCCCATACATTCCCGGTCCCGCCCGCCAGCCCCACCACCCCGCCCGCCAGCGAGAAGACACGAAAGGACGGCGTGGGGCTGCCGGGGTCCGCGGAGGGCCCGCGCGGCACGGGGTCCCTTCCAATTTGGGGTGTGTTGTCTATTTTCGGACGTTCGCCGAACTGCTGACGCTCTCCCCCTTCGAGGGGGCTTCTCCCCTCGCCGAGGTGCCCCTCGCCGCCAGAGGTGCCACTGTGCTCATAGAGTTAAGTCGGGCGTGTCCCCCTACAGGGGGATTTTCGACGAAAAAAGAAAATACCCCCAACATAGTGCAAAAATGCTCCAAAAATAGTCTGGGGACTATTTTTTGATGTTTTTTTGTTTACCTTTTTGGTGCATTTTGGGTGTATGTTTTTTCACCTTTCGTCGAAAATCCCCCTGTAGGGGGACGCGCCCGACATAATCATAGAGCTTGGAACCGCCTTTCCCGCATTTCGTCCCGCATGGTCCCGCAGTGCGTTTCCCCTCCCTCCGCCTCCGACCGTTCAGGCACCTCACGGCGCCGCATATAGCCAGCGCGGTCGGCGCACCCCTCGCACGCGCCCCGTGCGTCCACAGGCGGGGGTCCGCCCACTGCCGCAGCGGGCGCACGCGAACCCCTGCTTTCCATGTCGGCGCACCGTTGTCTCTCTTTCCCTCCTCTCATACACACATTCACACGTCGCGCCCCACCTTGCGGCGCGTAGTTGACGAGGAGAAGGGCACGCCTTTGCGCTGCACGCGTCTGCGTAGGGTGCGTCTCCATCGACTGGCTAGTTTTGCCCACAGGCGCCATCGAGTCTCCAAGGACAAGCCAAAGAGGCCCTGCATGTCCCAACCATCTTGTAGCGGTTTTCTTGAGTCAGCAGCGCCTGGAGTCACCCTTCACTCCTTCTTCCTCCCCCCTTTTCCGTCGTCGTCATCAGCCTTATCCTATTCTTCATCAGCATCATTATCATGATCGGCGTCGGCATCATCACTTTCAGTTGCATCATCGTCACCCGCATCATTAACAGAGTTCGTGTTATCAGCAACGCCAGCACCAGCAGCACCTGCCCCTCAATCGGTCACATTTCGGCACACATACACACATGTATATCAATGAACACACATCCTTACATACATGCACACATACAAACACTTCACACGTCGCGTGGCCCCATAGGGAGCTTCACCGAATGCCCGATTGGGAGGTTCCGCATGCTACCGCCGTTTCCATTTCGGTACACTGTTCACATGCTTCGTGCCCTTTATAGAGAACTACACCGAAGGCTCCGGTGGGGGCGTCCGCATGCGACTGCAGCATACATCTCTGCGCACCTTGGAAAGAGCGTGTTCTACCGCTGCTGGCGGAAAACCGGGGGGGGGTCACTAC